AAAATTGTAAAGGAAGCAGTATCGGCTTTATTGCCCTTCAATACCACTCTCTGTTCCTGTTCTCTAGTATTCCGCTCTATCCCAGTGCTTTGATCCTGCTCCACCCTCCTACCTCACTCCACTTCACCTAACCAACTAGGTCATTTTCAGAGTAGCCTGTATTGAATGTTAGTTTTCCTCAGTGCTTTTTCACATTGCCCAGTACGGGTCATTGCTAGAAGAAATCAGTAAATTTGAAGTAACTCATTCTAACATGTGATTGAATGGCCCTAAATTCTTTTAAGAGTATTTTTATTTTATTTTATTATTCATATGTGCACCTTACCACCCACTCCGCCCCACTCCCTCTCTCCCCCACCCCCCTCAAACCCAGCAGAAATATTTTTGCCCCTTATTTCTAATTTTGTGTGTAGAGGAGAGTATAAGCACATATAAGATCAGGAACAAGGGTTTTTGCTTGGCTTGAGATAAGGATAGCTATACAGAGTTGACTACACATTTTTAATTTCCTGAGTGTATGTAGTTACCTTCTAGAGTTAATTCTTTGTTGATCTCACCTTTTCACGTAGTTCCTGGGTCCCCTTTTCCTATTGCCTTCAGTTGCGTTTAAGATATCTGCCTTATTTCTCTCGTTGAGGGAAACAAATCTATCTAGTATTTTAGGTGTGCTACCTAGACTCACCCCTCCCTTGTGTGCTTCTAAGCTTTCTATCATGTGCCAAAGTCACAAATCCCATTGTCTGTGTTTGCCCTTGATTCTATGTCCAAATTATGAGGGAGAACATAACGATTTTTGGTCTTTTGGCCAGGCTAACCTCACTCACGAATGATTTCTCCAATTCCATCCATTACCAGTGCGAATAACACGTTCCTCTTCATGGCTGCATAAAATTCCATTGCGTTATAGATACCACATTTCTTAATCCTTCGTCAGTGTTCGGGGGCATCTTGGCTGTTTCCATGACTTGGCTATTGTGAATAGTCTGCAATAAACATGGGTGTGCAGGTGCGCCTCTGGAGTAAACCTGTGTCACAGTCTTTTGGGTATATCCCAAGAGTAGTATTGCTGGATCAAATTGGTAGATCAATGTCTAGCTTTTTAAGTAGCCTCCAAATTTTTTTCCAGAGTGGTGTGTACAGTTTACACTCCCACAACAGTGTAAGGGTTCCTTTTTCCCTGCCATCCTCGCCAACCTGTTGGTGTGTTGTTGCTAATGGATGGCTATTTTAACAGGGTGAGGTGGAATCTTAGTGTGGTTTTAATTTGCATTTCCTTATATGCTAGAGAATGGTGAGATTTTTTCATGTGTTTTTTGGCCATTTGAATTTCTTCTTTTGAGAAAGTTCTGTTTCGTTCAGTTGCCCCTTTTCTTTATTGGTTCATTCGTTTTGGGAGAATTTAGTTTTTTAAGTTCCCTATATATTCTGGTTATCAGTCCTTTGTCTGATGTGTAGTTGGCAAATATTTTCTCTCACTCTGTGGGTGTTCTCTTCAGTTTAGAGCCATTTCTTTTGATGAACAGAAGCTTTTTAGTTTTATGAGGTCCCATTTATCTATGCTATCTCTTAGTTGCTAGTGGCTGCTGGGGTTTCGTTGAGAAAGTTCTTACCTATACCCACTAACTCCAGAGTATTTCCTACTCTTTCCTGTATCAACTTTAGAGTTTGTGTTCTGAATAAGATCTTGATCCATTTTGAGTTAATATTGGTATAGATGATATACATGGATCTAGTTTCATTCTTTTGCAGGACTGCTAACCAGTTTTCCCAGCAGTTTTTGTTGAAGAGCTGGCTATTTCTCCATCGTATATTTTAGCGCCTTTGTCAAAGACAAGTTGGTTATAGTTGTGGACTTCATATCTGGGTCCTCTATTCTGTTCCACTGGTCTTCATGTCTGTTTTTGTGTCAGTTACCATGCTGTTTTTATTGTTATTGCTTTGTAATATTAGGTTTGAAGTCAGGTATCGTTGATACCTCCTTTGACTGAGTATTGCCTTGGCTATTCGTGGCCTCTTGTGTTCCATATAAATTTAACAGTAGATTTTTCAATCTCGTTTAATGAATGTCATTGGAATATTTGGGAATTGCATTCAACATGTAGATTGCTTTTGGGGAGTATCGACATTTTACTAATGTTGATTCTACCAACCATGAGCTGGGAGATCTCTCCACTTTCTATAGTCTTCCTCAATCTCTTTCTTCAGAAGTGTATAGTTTTCCTTGTAGAGGTCTTTCACATCTTTGTAGGTTTACACCTAGGTATTTGATTTTGTTTGAGGCTATTGTAAATGGGTGTTTTCATACATCTTTGTTCGTTTGCTCATTGTTAGTGTATAGAAATGCTATGATTTCTATGTGATTTTATATCCTGCTACCTTGCTATTAGCTATTGATGATGTCTAGAAGCTTCTGAGTAGAGTTTTTTGGGTCTTTAAGGTATAGGATCATGTCATCTGCAAATAGGGATATTTTGACAGTTTCTAAGAGTATTTTTAAATTAGCCTTTTAACTAAAGACTCTTAAATTGGTAGAATATTAAAATAGTATGAGGGATATATTGAAGAGATAATTCCAATTAAATTAGGGCACCAATGCACCTGCTTGCTGTGCCTACATTTGTCCATTGGCTGCAGAGGAATTGAAGAATTGATCATTCATTCAGTTCTGCATGCAAGCAGAATTAGGATTCTAATTATCCCAGAAAACACTCAATACTCTGCCATCATTTCAGAAAAACAGGCTCCTGGAAGCTACTAGGTATATTCCACTGTGCAATTTTAGCATGCAAACATGCTTATTCTTTCCTATTAATTGTATGTCAAAATACCATTAAGAAAGCAACTGTTCTTTTGTAATTAAAAAAAATTTAGTTTGTAATATCCCATGTTGGTGAGGGTTTGGGGAAATAACACTCTTGCATATAGCAAAGGTTAGTATAAATTGGTTCAAGTTTTCTACAGGGCATTTTGACAACGAAAATTCATGGAATTTCTGAAAGAAATAGCCCTGTATGTATTCAAAAAACCAACATTGCTTGTAATCATCAAAAATCGTTCACACCAAAATGTTCATTTAAAGGAAATTTATTATAGAGGTAAATGGTATATCTAGTCAATGAAATGCTAGGAAGCCATCACAGTTTTGTGGAAAATTGTGATACAGAACAATTTTCAAAGAAGAATGAAATTTTGTCATTCTCAGGTAAATGGATAGAAGTGGAGAACATCATCTTAAGCTAAGTTAGCCAGGTTCAGAAGGCCAAAAGCCACATGTTCTCCCTCATATGCGGATTATAGACCTAAAACAAATGCAGGAATATTATGGGACACGGGTCACACTAAGGGGAGGCCATGCATGGGAGTCTAGGACAAGGGAAGAAAACAAAAAACTTGAATGTGGTTAATGTGCTTACAGTACAGGAATGAATATAGAAATCTTAAACTGGCCTGGGCCACCATGGGAAGGGGACTAGGGGAGGAGTGAAGAGGACTGGAAGAGATGAACCAGTTGGGGTTGTAATACATATATGCATGGAAACAACACAAGGAAACTTCCTGTGTAGCTATCTTTATCTCAAACTAGCAAAAAGACCATGTTTCTCATTTAGCTTTTATGTTTTATCTTCTACAAAATCAGAGAACAGAGGGCGGAACAGGATCTGCAGGGTGGGAGGAAGGAGGTGGTGGGGAAAGGGGTAAGAGGATGAATACAGTGCAAATAACATATAAACATGTATGTAAATGCAAAAATGATACCTATTGAAACTGTTCCAGGAATCAGGAGAGGGGGGGATGAAAGAGAGCAGAGGAGAGGATGAATTCAAGTATGATGTATTTGATACATTGTAAGAACCTTTGTAAAATGCTACAATGTACCCCCACCCAGCACAAGAATAAAAAAAAACAGAAAAATAACTAAAACAAAAAAGAACAATTTTCAAGACATATTAACATAAGAAAAATCAAGATATAAATAGTTTTGCATGATATGATCCTTATCATATGTATAAATATATATATATATGTAATTATGTACATAGAAAGAAAATTACATATGTTATCATTATTAATGCCACTTATTTCTAGGCAGTGAAATTTTAGGTGATTTTTATTTTCTTCTTTTTGTTACCTCTCATTTCTGGAGTTTCTCCAATAAGTTTGTATTATTTTCCATGGAGAAAAAAATAGAATTACTTTTCTTTTAAGGTATCTAAGCATTTTCTCAACATAAATAACTCAGTAGCTCTTGTAATTTATACACCCAAGAGCATCTGATCTAGTTTAAATCATAAGGAAGTGGTAGCATAATAGGCATAAAGTCTGTGCTAAAAAGAAGCAGTTAGTGGAAGCTTAATTTATGCAGACATAAACTTTTTTTTGAGACATGGTCTTGCTATGTAGCCTAGGCTGGCCTTGAACTTGCGATCCTCTTGCCTTAATGGTGGATCTTCCTGAGTGCTGGAATTACAGGTGTGTGCCACCATGTCCATTCAGGTGTACACATCTGTTTCTACACATTTTAATATACATCAGCCAATCACTGAAGTTCTTAGTCATCATTTACAGTTCAAAATATACCAAACTATTATAAAGCACAATATATGAGGCACCACCAAAAGTTAAAAATTGAAAGGATAGCCAGGCATGGTGTCACATACCTATAATTTCAGTACTGGGGTGGTAGAGGCAGGAGGACCACAAATTTGAGTACAACCTTAGATACATAGTGAGTTCTGGGCCAGCCTGGACTACATAGCGAGACCCTGTCTTAAAAAAGAAAAAAAAAATCAAACAAAAAATTAGAAATAATGCTTCAGATGTCTTTGTAGAGAATTGAAAAGGAGTACTGATCATAGTACTAAAAATAATAGTAAATTAACATACTGCCCTCTTTTGGTAGTTATTTGCAATTCAATTTACGTTTATTGCTATAAATATGTTAATCACCTACAAATTTGTGCATAACCGAAACTAATTTTAAATTACCTTTTTTTGGACAGAAAATGCTGATAATTCCAGTTTGTTATCACCATCTGGTAAGACTTATTTTATGATTGGGGAATTTTAAGAAAGTATTGTTCTAAAAGTTCTATATGCAATATGGTATATGGTCAGATACAGCAAAATTGTTTTCCGCCAAATACCTTGGTTAAATTATGTCATATGGCTTATGGAAAGATCAATATACTGGGGAATAAGTCATTGGGGAAAATATTGTGGATTTACATTACAATAGCTGCTTAAGTTTTTCAGTTATTTTTGGTATTCTAGTTCACAAGTCTGAAGAGTACCAAGAACTTAAACATTCCAAGTATTCTTATATTTGCGGGATGAGATGTTCTCCCTCAGTATCCTCACTGAAAGAATATTTTTCAAAAGGCTTCTAAAAGCCTTAGCACTCGCTAGTATGGGAAGGCAAATAAAGAGAAATGTATGACTAGAGGCTGTATTGGCAGGAACTGGGAACAGTACCCTAATTTGAGACTAATAGCTAGAAATAGGTTCTTAAGGATAAAGCGGTCCAGCCCCAACCCTTAGTTGATGAGAGGATGAAGCCTGCAGTGGCTGAATAACTTGTCTAAGACCTCATAGCTTCTTGCCCCATGTCATACGGAGACACCAGATGACTTCTTTGATTCCTATTTCTATATTCTTTTTGTTATATCATATATCCCAGAATGTTAGTGAGTCAATGCACATTCTATACTTAGTTGTGTGAAGTGAGCTTCTACTGTTATTCATTTAGTTTAATCAAATCAATAATAATAGCAATTAAAATTAATTCTTCTGCATATACTGTGTGCCTAGACATCTTCAGACAACATCTCATTCCTTTCAGTTTTGCGGCATAGGAATCATTATATTCATTTTATAGTGAAGAAAGTGAGGCTCAGAGGGGAAAACTTGCTCATATTTACATATTCTCTGGAGCCAGTCTATTGAGGTTTGAATATGGTCCACTACCCTCCTACCCCTATTGCTAGCTAAGATTTTGGGTAAGTTCCTTAACTTTTCTGTGGCTCAGTTTCCTTCTCTGTAAACTGTAGAGAATAACAGTACCTGCTTCCTAGGGTATTTGCAAAGATTAAATGAGATAGAGATAACACATGTGCCTAGTGCATATTTAGTCCCTGATAAATAATAACGATCATTAATTAGTATGAGTTACTAAAATATGGGGGAGAGACTTGAACCCTGAACTGCAAGCTACCAAAGCTCAGGCTCTTTTGACCATGTCTATTTGCCCCCTAGTTCTTAAGCTTTCAGGGTACAATGCACCAGTGTATTTTTCTTCCAGCAGAACAGCTTTCAAGAAATGCAATCATGGTAATATCTGCAGAATCTTGTTTACATAGAGTGGGGAGTGGTGCTTTGGGAATGAACATTGATTGTAGCCACAGCCTGGGCTCTGGGTGCCCTGGGGTAGAGCTTCACAAACAGGAAGGTAAGAACCAATGTAGCATTGAGGGACAAAGAAAACTGTGCCCAAGTCCTCTTCTTTTCATGGTGTCACCCAGTCATCAGCATTCAAAGAAATTTAAGCCATTAATTAAAAAAACAGCTTTAGCCAATTATTTTATTCTTCCCCAAGAACAAAGGAGTTCATAGCCAAATTTTGAATTGCTCAGGAACTGTGTTACTCCTCAAGAGCTATCCTTGGTAATTGTTTAAAAAATAAATGTAGTAAATGACAAAATATGGAAGCAATAATGTGAGACAGACAGACAGGATGTGTGCTTCAGCCAACGCATGAGCGGTCTAAAATAGATAGGGCAGCCCAAGTTTTGTCCATACCACCTGAAAATCAGGCTCCCTACTGCAAAATTTATTTGTTATTAAATGTTTGTGTTTATTTTTCTATGTGTAGGTTGAAGTCAAGCCATTGAATCTTTTAAATATTTAAACATGCAAAATGTGTGTAGTAGATTGACCTCGTAGGGTAAATGGAGGCATTCCACAGGAAATTTATAACTTCATTGATTGTCTTAATAGTAGCTATATTTTAAAATAGCTTAGCAGGAAATTGGGTTAGGTAGTACAATATTGAGTGGCAGCAGGGCAGCAGGGTTGTTTTGTTTGTTTGTTTTGTAATCCTACATTCACTGTGGGAAGAGTTGGCAGGCATCATTATAACAAAATTGAGTCAATGTGCCAATATATTTCATGATTGTAGTTTAACAAGTTATTTTAAATGTTTTCTAAAACTCTCTCGGCTAAAAAAAATTGGAAAGTAATATTTCTTCTATTTTGGTGTAGTTTCTAAACTTATTTCCATGATATTTCATAGGTAGTAGCAGGCTTTGTGATCATGGATCACATAGAATGTTTTCTACTTCTTTTTTATAATTATATCTCAAAAGTTCTGACTCCTTAAAATTTAATAAATAATTGTTTCAAAGTATTTATTTAATTTTTTTTCTTTCCTGTAGCTGAATCATCTCTTGTCAGTGTTGTCCCGTACTCCAATGGTACTCCAGGCAAGATTCTAAAAAAATTTTAAACCTAGAGTTAGTCCAATTTGTTAAGTTTTTGTTTTAATTTTACCTTCATATTGTTTTTCTCCTTGGGACAAAAAGGGGCAGAAACTACAAGCCTCGATGGTAAGAATTTTTTTCTGAAGCAAGTGAAAATTGATAACCCTTAATATGAATAGAATTGTAATGAATGGTGTTGAAGATTTCTACCTCTAAATTATGTCTGAGTACACTGAGTGATTTCCAATAACCCAAAACCCCCAAATAAAAATAAACACTGTCAACACATGAGAGTGACATAAACTTTCTGGTTAAATGATGAAATTCTTATGGCCATGGAGGGAAGACAGCCCTCTACCACTCTAACTATTCTAGAAAAGAAAAGAAATATCAATCACATTTGAGAATTCCATTTTACTTGTTCTGTTACAATGCCAGAAAGTTTGACATGACATATTGTTTAAATGTGAAAAGCACATCCAGTGACTTCAGTATGATTCAGCATGGATTTGGAGGCACAGAATGTTCGATGACAGCCTCTTTATGGATGATTTTTTTATCAATTTTTAAATAGTATGAGATGGAAAAAAACTGGCTTCCTCATCAACTAGAGAAAAGGACAAAGAGCTGTGCTATATTCCAGAGAGGTGGATAGGGCAGCACATTCTGTTCCCTCCCCTCTGTGGGTAAACAGCCTTCTATCTTACTGGTCAAACCCCAACACTTTTCAGAATCCCTTAGTTAAAATAAAAATCTCACTATGTGGTTGGTGGTTAAGGAGCTAAATAATCATAGATGCAGCTTATACTGACCAAAAGTGGCTTAAATTCATATTTAGAACAAGGGGAAGGACCAAAAGTTATCATTTTCATGTTTAATTACTTTTTATAACGAAAAGTATGTCTTCAATTTAGTTTTGACAGCAGTTTTTGAATCCCATTGTGTGTGTGTGTTTCATGTGCATTTTAGGCATGATAATGTAAGATATTTCTGTTCATTTTTTGTTTGTTTTTTTGAGAAAGGATCTTACTAAGTAGCTAGGCTAGCCTTGATCTCATGATTTTCCTGCCTCAGCCTCCTGAGTGCTGAAATTACAGATGTGCACCACCATACCCAGCTCATGCCTTTTTTCCCCTAAAATTTCATCCAGAATAATAAATTCATTTAAAGAAATACCAGTAGAATAGATTTTAATTGGCTTGTACATTGAACAGGATCAGAATGAAATTTTCCTCAAAGTTGGTTGAAGGTTATGTTTAAGAACTCTAAATTTAAACTAGAATTATTTAAAATTGCTTTATAAGAGTATATAACTGGTAAAAATGCATAAGCATCCCAGAACTATCTATTAAAGTTAGAATTAATGCTGAAAATTTCATATCATTTAGGAACTTTTATTATCATACAAGAAAAAGGAACATAATAAAACAACACAAATGAGTTTATTTAAATCTAGTAATTATAGGACTGTTGGTTTGTGTTAGACATATAACTGGCAATCAGGTTGGAGAATGGGTAGTGTGATGGAATGAGCAGCCAATGCATTAAGTAGTCCAAGTTGGTTTTTGCAAAGCTCTCTAACTTCTGTCAGATTTGGGGAAGAGTGAATTGTTTAAAGAGCTTAGGAAGACTCAGATTTGTTAGTCATGCTAGTATTAATAGTAATTTTTATTTTATTTCAGATGCTACTTCAAGTGTATTGTCTACTTTAAACAAAACAGGTAATATCAAGTTATTTCTAAATGTCATAGCATGTCTTCTATGGCTTCTTGAGTATCTCACTTGTGTAGTAAATATTTTTCCTTTGCCTGCTCACTTTCTTGTGTCTTCAACCATAGATTTATTAATCCTTTGACTTTGAAATTGAATAATTCCGTTGTCCCTGCACTCTCAAACTTCCAAACGATTGTGGCCATAGCACTCCATTTAAAATAACATATAGTATTATTTTTGACTGTCATAGTGATACATATTAGCTCATAAAATGGAGAATATAGAGAAATACAGAGAAGAAAATAGAAGTCTCCTTTAATGTTGCTTTCCTAAGTCTATTACTATTAGTAATTTAGTACATTTTCATTTGGTATCTTACATGCATGTGTTTATATACATATACTCTACATATCCTTTGCAAAATAGTCAGATTCACATAGATTTTATATCTTGCTCTTTTAACTTAATATTATAAGTATTTCCCAGTGCTCCTTGCCATTAATGACTTGATAATATTCCATTGTGTGCTATATGTTGAACATTAAAGTTGTTTCTATTTTTTTAATAGAAGTTGTTGCAATGAACATCCTGGTCCAACATCTTTGCATTCATTCCTGATTTCTGTAGGATACATTCCAAGGATTGGACATAATGGGTCAGCAGTATGAATATTTTAAGACCCTGATACCTACTGCCCAATTGCCTTCTAGAAAGGTTGTACCCAGGAACATTCTTAATAGCAGTGGATGAGAAGTCTGTCACACTACACTTTTGCTGAGACTATATTATGTTATTAAGTCTTTTTCTCAATTCGTTAGGATTTACTTTTCATTTTTGATTGCTACTGAGGTTGAACATTTTTCTGCAAAAGCACTTTAGTTACTAAAACTAGAATTTCATTTCACAGTCGTGTTCTGTTTGCTCTGGAGAGGAAAATATCAAGGCAGACAAAAATAATATATTTAAAGTTTTCTAATTAATAATGCAAAATGCTATCTGCTGCTATAATTACCACCAACAATTGCCCATGGATCACACACTGAAAACAACTCATCAGTGGCACACACACAAAGGAGGATTTCTGAAGCTCTCAGTATAATATCATCATTTTCAGTGTGTCTCCAGGCTCTTGAGTTTGGTCTTTTCTTCAGAATTTGCCCATTTACTCTAGAAGACTGAGCTTCTTTGCAAATATGTGTCCTGAACACAGCCTCTTGTACTAGACCATCTTTACAGCACGGGTTTCTGAACTTCGGTCTCCATTATCTGGATGAGTGAACCATGGGTTCTGTCTCCAAACTGCACTGGAAAGATATTTGTTAAGATTTGCTTCATCAGAGCATGTTAATATTTGCCTGTGAGCCCCTAACTTTGAGAAGTCCTAGTTTTACTGTGGGTCTGTTGTGTGATAATAGTTGGATGGTCTTGACCTCCCTGGGAATAGCTTTATCTGCCAGTACAATGGGGATAGTATTGTGCTAAGTCCTAAAGAAAATATCGGGATGCTTGATTATGACTATAGTAACAATATTAATTAATGTGTACTGAGTCACATTAATTTTGATTCTAAATCACCTGCTTTTTACAACCTGTTATCTGAAGATCCTGATAGTGACTTAATTCTATAATATCTGAAGTGTAAATTCACATTTGTTGATCTAGCCACAGTGCCTGGAAACTGAAGTAGAATCACACAAGCTGTGGGGCGTGTACTGGGTGTGATCTAACTGGGTAAACATGAGACTCCAACTCCCAGACCCACCCTAAACCAGTGCTACATGTTCCATGAATGTGAATCCCATTTGTTCTGGTACTTAGATGACTGATGGTGTCTTAAAAATGTCAACCAATGTGATTTTCTTACCAGTTCACTAAAAAATAATATTCATGGCAAATTAAAAAAAAAGCAACAATTCTGCTCTAATATTTAAATTGCTTCTTTGCAGAAAAAACTAAAATCACTATAGTAAAAACCTTCAATGCATCAGGTATGACTTATTATCAATATCAAGACTTTCTTTTTATATAACTAAAGTAAAATTAACAAATGACTGGTGTTTATGATTTCTTTCTCTTTTTTCCTACTTTTTAAAAATAAAATCTATTCTTAATAGGTGTGTATGCAAAACTGGGTACTTGAAGTTGTACTAGGTGTTTAGGGCTATATAATAATTATCAGACAAAGTACCATCTTCAAGAAACTACTAGTCTAAGGGGGAGACAAGGCAAACAAACTGGTAACCAACATAAATGTGTATGCAGATAAAGACAATGATTCCACAAGTATTTCTTTTTATCCCTTTTTGTTGGTGCTGGGGATGGAACCCATGGATAAGCATGTTCTCTACCACTGAGCTACACCTCTAATCCCACAAATATTTCTAACATGGTTAAGAGGCATTTGAGGTAGAAGGCCTGGTGGTAATGAGTTTATCAAGAGGATGCAATTTTTGAGAGGAATGACCTCAAACTCTTTTCAAAACAAAAAAGGAGTGTACTTTTAAGTTCCTGGCACAAGACTAGGCACATAAGACATGTTCAATAAAGGCTTGTGATTGATTTTAATCAAGGGGAGGCAAACTATTTCCAATGGGCCAAATCTGGTTCACTGCCTGTTTTTGTAAATAAAGTTTTATTGAAACACTGTAATGCCCATTTGTTTACATATTTTCTATGGCTACTTTTCTGCTACATAGAATGGTAGAGTTGAGTAGTTGCAACTGAGACCATGTGGCTCACAGTGCATAAACTCTTTAGTGTCTAGCCCTTCTCAAAGTTTTCTCCCTCAGGATTCAAGGAATGACCTGTGTTCATGTACTTGGGGATATTACAAATAACATTTCTAGAAATAGGAAAGGAAATTTGCAGTATCAAAGAGCAGCAAAGCCAAGCATGGTGGTGTGTGCCTGTAATCTCAGCCCTCTGGAGTCAAAGGCAGGGGGATCATGAGTTTGAGACCAGCCTGTGCTACATAGTGAGACCCTGTCTCAAAAGAAAAAAAAAAGTAAATAAACAAAAAAGAAAGAAGAAAGAGAAGCATAAAGACATACATCACTGGAAATAGAGGTAAAATTTGGAGAAAGATGAGAGATGGTAGAATGACAAGCTTAGCGAGCCATGGAGGTGATTTAAAAAACATTGAAAGCACTACTGCCATCTATATATTTTATGATATTTGCATGATGCCTATATTATAATCAATTACATCTCTATAAGCAAGTACATTTAGTAGAGGTTTTCCTCTTTGGTGTAGGTAACATTGCTGTGGAAGAATAAATAGAAATCTATATGTCTGGTGATATAGTTTCTGCCAGAATGCTTTATTGATGCATATGAACCATGCTTCAGCTAACAGTTTTGATTTTGTGAACAAACTGAATTTAAGTGTCAAAAGTTACCTGACATGTAAGAAACTATATGACATTCATTAAATCAAATTACAATTTTAATTTGCATCCAAACTAGTTTTCTCATTGGAACAAACTAATGTACATTGTAAGTAATGTACAATGGAAATAAACTAGCAATTGGGCATTGCATACATAATTATGACCAAAGAAGACATAATAAAGAGGCAAAAATATTCCCTAATGTAACAGTCTTTTTCTCTTGATGATTTATTTAGTACATGATTAGCATTAGCCCCTCCCATTTCTTACAGATTTCTTATGCTTCACCAAAAGATTGCAATTAATGAAGGAAGGAGTTTTAGAAAACTAAACCTTGAGCTCTTTTCAAATCAAAGAAGAGATGTTCTTCCCCTTTCACCAAAGGGGAAAGTGTTTTGCAGATTAATCTGTATGACACTTTTTGTTGTAATGTGGCTTATTTCATCTCCCATTCATCTCTGCCCCCTTTGTATGCCTGTGTGGTCTGATGTCCTCGGCTATCACTCAAACTTTTTATTTCCTGACCAGCATCACCCACTAAGCTGTAAGTTGCTTGAGGGCAGGTCTGTATCTGTAACCTCTCAAAACCTATAGAATGTGGTAGGTACTCAGAAAATCTGTTTTAAATTTTGTAATTTTTCTCATGAAGAAATACCATGACATTAATATTATTTTGTACATGGACTTGCAAAAAATATCGAGGGCTGTCTTATCCAGAAAGGGAAGGAAGATCTATGATTGAGAGCTATTCCATTTAAAGTCTCTATATTTGATTTGTTTTCATGGTGCTCTGTTTATATTCAATAGGAAAGGGGTTAATTGGGAATGGGGTTCTGACACTACAGAATAGTAATGAGTCAGAGCTGACTGACTAAACAAAAACTCATTCCTTTAGTTTTTGTAGAATTCATACAGCCAATTATATCTCACCTATTCATATTTTTGGCCCATGTCAGATGTCTTCATTTGTGAATTCTTGACAGTGTAGGATACAAGTGCAGGTTTTGACATAATTAACCAGCTGACTTGTGTTTTTCCCCCCACAGGTGTAAAATCCCAGAGAAATATTTGTAATTTGTCATCCATTTGCAATGATTCAGGTTAGTTCTTACATATATTACACATTGCCAGTAGATTTTCTCCATAGAGACAAATGGTTTGTTTCTTTCCTGTTGTGTATGTGCATGCCTCTCTGACTTGTTTCTTTTCATACTTCCTGGCTACTTCATACTTCCTTAGTGAAAACAAAAACAAATTTTAGATCAGGCCAAAATTATCTTCACATTGTCTAGTGAAAGAAAATGGATTGATTTCCTTAATATGAGCCGTGGAGCTCTACAACAAACAGTTTTCACTGTAACTTTAAAGCAATAGCTTATTCCCTGAGTTAATTCATGAACATAATAATGAAATTATTAATTATTAAAAGCCACTTTTTGTACATAAATCCCTCAAACTTTTCCACAGGACCTTAAGTATTATAGCCTAGAAACAGAGTATTGTTCTTTGCTAAGAATAAAAGCAGACTGCTAGAATGTTGAAACCTTATATATACCCAGATAATTAAGTGCTGATTCCAGTATATCCATAGTGTGTTTTTCCATCTCTAACCACCTAAAACCATCCACTGTTTTTTTTTTTATAATTGAGATGGTAATCTCTTGAGAATATTCTGTTTTTGAAATAGGAATATTTTTTCTTCTGCCATGGGCTAGAAGAATAAAACAACTTATTTTCTCATATTTATTTGGTTCTCTAGACTACCTTCTTTATTAAAACCAATGAAAGCAATTGTAAAAAAAAAAAAGCAGAAAGATGTGGTTGCCAGCCAGGTGAGAACTGGGTAGGAATTATTGGAAGGGAGAAGGCATTTTAAAACATTAAGGTCTTGGTATGACTCCAATAGTAATCATTACAGGAATTTTTCCTTTTATGCTGTTCCTTTTAAAAAGCTTTATTATTTATTTGAAAAACATAGGTAACAATTTCAAGTAAGTAAGTTCAGGTTGAATGGATTAGAAAACTAGAAGACTTTCTATTAAAAGAAATCTCCACAAATACTTCCTGCTTTGTGAATGTGAGACTTGCTCATCTGAAATTTTTGCGGATACTATGCTCCAGGTAGAATATAAGAGGGAAATATTAACTGGTTTAAAGGAAAAGAACTCACTGGATACATTTCATTTTCATACGTTGGGTAACTTTCTCTTCTCTTTTTTTCCTCCTTCCTTCTCCCCTCTCTTACACTTCTCTTTACTGTATTTCCCATAATGCCATTACTTTTGTGCTTCATCTAATATTTTAGGCTGATGACTAATGTCTAATTCAATGTTGTGTCTACATGATGTTTGATAAATGAAATTGAACATGTAGTCAATAAAACCAAACCTGGTCATCTTGAATAACACATGCCAGAAAGCTGGTAGAGTAACATTTTCCTCAATTAAGTGACTGACTTGACCATTTGTTTCAGTGAAACAAAACAGCCTCATCAGGGAACTAACTCGTTTGGCACCAGAAATCCCATGATATCTTGCCAGAAACTAGAAACCTTTGCTTCTTGCAGGTTTCAATCTGGATACATTAAAGAAAGTGGAAGCTAGTAAATACGGTGGGAGCTAACTGAGCAGGAAGAATTAGGCTGAGGGTCAAAAGGTGGTGGCTTCTTCATTGCTGTGTGCAACCAGAACCACTGAGCTCATAGCACATTTTTGAAACTCACCCTGAACTCAAAAACCATACAAGGGAGAGAAATTGTGAGTGTCAGTGCATGTGCACACATGTACATGCACGTGCACGCACATGTATACACACACACACACACACCTAAACAAGCATTTAAAAACTAAGAGTTTTTAAAAATTTGACAAATAATTCTACACAGATATCAAGTATCTTTACTTTCAATACTCATGTACTGTATTAATTGAAATCTCAGTGTCAATATGCAAAAGTTGAGGTTCTCAGTAAAAAAGTTGCCTCAGATCAGTCACTTGAATCACTGGTCACATGGCTTTGTCAGCCATTTTTAAGTGGAAGTAGACCATAGGATACATGGCTCCATAGGATTTATGGCTGTGGGAATCAATTGTTTTACTTTGGGATGTAATAAGAGGAAATGAGGAGGCCTCCAACCCTCTAGCTCAGAGGTTGGTAAACTATCACGCATAGTCCAAATATGGCCAGCCACTTGTTTTTGTAAATAAAGTTTTATTGGCCCATACATGCCCATTTACCTATGTATTATCTATGGGCATCATGCTATAATGAAAGAATTGGGTAGTTTCAACAAAGACCATATATTCCATCAAACCTCAAATATTTACTTAACTGATTTATTACCAACAACACTGACCAAAACCAGCTCTGTTTTATATGACATCTTTGCTGCATTGGTCAAGAGGCCAGTTTTTGATCCCTATATGAAGTGTATACCATGTACTTCTGTTCAGGAGTTTTCATTTTATTTGTTTCTAGAAAGAGTAGAAGCCCGTAGACGTACCCTGAAGGACATAGCTTGACTGAAATTGAGTTTAATATCTCCCAAAGTGAACATTTTAACAAGTTTTTCTGGTGTTTCTGAAGTGAAAGCAACAATGAGTTCAAATTAAGAATTGCCTTGCACACTATTCAGGTTTCAAAGCAAAATTTCAGCTGTGTTTTTAGGAAAGACAATTGCATTTGGTTGCCATATTTTAAAAACAAAAACCAAATTTAAAAACTGACATAGAATAGACATCCATAAGGCTGTTTACCTGCAGAGAAACATTTTTTTGCTTCTTCTCTTCTATATGTAGCTGCAACTATATTAGTTTTAAAAATATTTTTAAAGTTAACATTGGAGCCACAGTCCTTCAGTTATTTTAAGAGAAACAAAGTTCCAATGAGACTCAGGAACACAGGGTTGAAATTTTCCTCACAAGTGGAAAAGTTTCTGTTTCTCAATTCCCACATAAAATTTATAGCTCATATGTTTTGAAAATTATATTGATAATCATTGAGTAGCTTGATAGGAGAGTAAATGAGAATAAAAAACATTTGATGAGATCATTTATAAAGTAATTTGGTAACTTTTATGCACTGTATTAATTGTTAAACTGTAAGAGCACAAATATCAAATTTTCTTTTGAAATTTTCTTTTTAGTGTTTTTTAGAGGTGAGATAATGTTTCAATATGATGAAGAACACAATATTTCCCAGGTAGGTTTTTTTTTTTTTTGCTGTAATCTTTTTCTTTCTGGTGGTTACTAGGGTTTGAATTCAAGGCCTTGCACTTGCTGTGCAGGTGCTCTACCATTTAAGCCATGTCCCCAGCCTTTGCTTCAATCTTAAAAAGTGAATTTTCATGTATTTAAAGTTTTACTGGAGGTTCACATTATTTATGGTATTTGGCGTATTTACTTTTATGACCAAATTTAAATATAGTATGTATTGTCGACTCTAGTTTTGTGATAAGAACTTGAATTCATGATAATTATGATGTTTTGTTAATAATTATATTTTGGTTTTCATTAGGTTTGCAGCTGAATAAGAATGTTAATACAATGCAATTCTATTACCAATTAAAATGTAAAAAATTATCTTATACACTCCTAGCAACAAGAAATATATGTATTGAATCTAAGAATAATCCTCCAAATTTGATCATGTTCCCCACATGGGGGATTCAGATACAGTGGTATCAGCCTTCCCATAACCTAGATTGGTTCAAAGGATCGCAACCAAACATGTTTGTTCATTCCATGTATATTTCCCCTACTGTGTATTGGGCCATGAGGTGGGTACTAGAAATGCCGCAATGGTGCTGTCAAGTTCTTTACATTGAGGTCTCTTACTCTGGGACCTGTCATAAGGAGAGCTTTAATAGTGTTATTTTGGGGAAACCTTTGAAATAAGAAAGACAGAACTTAGCATATCAGAGTTGCTGACTCAGAAATTAAAAAATAAATAAATATTTGCATGCATTGTTCAGGCCAGTTCTCCCCCAACCCCCCCTGCTCCCTCTCCCTTCCCCCCACCCCCACTTCCAGGCAGAATCTGTTCTGCCCTTATCTCTAATTTTGCTGAAGACAAAGTACAAGCAATAATAAGGAAGACAAAGCATTTTTGCTAGTTGAGATAAGGATAGCTAGACAGGGAGATTCCTCGCATTGCTTCCGTGTACAAATGTGTCACATTCTAAGTTGATTCATCTCTAACTGACCTTTTCGCTAGTTCCTGATCCCCTTCTCATATTGACCTCTGTCACTTTAAGGTTTCTGTATTAGTTTCTCTGCAGTGGGGACATCAAATAGTATCATGGCCCAAACAATGTATGCACATATGAATCAACGAATAAAAAAATAAAAAAAACCTGTCCCTTCAGTGGGAATTGGCAATGAAATCTGGATAAACTTATTTATTGTTTGATTAATTATAAATATTTTAATACTTAATAAAATACAAATGGCTAATAGACTTAATATAAATAAATAAATAAATAACCCAAAACTGGCTCCGTGAATATGGATTAACTTTTGGGTACCCCAAAAGTTACCTGTACAAGTGCAACTTGATCATCTGATAGACTATTCCATGGAGTTAGGATTCAGTCTTTGGGGTGTAGTTCTTCAGGTAGCCAACAAAAGTAAACAACAACTTCTTGTTAGAGAGTGGGTTTTAAAAAACAACAACAGATAGTATTTTTATGTTCTTAATGAGTTTTTGCTTCCAACAGGATCAAGATATAGCTAATGGCACCTTCACTGGAGTCTTGTCTCTAAGTGAACTGAAGTGAGTAATCTGTTTGATTTAAAACTTCAGGCACTGGGCTGGTGAAGTGGCTCAAGTGGTAGAGTGCCTGCCTGGCAAGCATGAGGCCCTGGGTTTATACCCTAGTGCCACCAAAAACTAACTAACTAAATAAATAAAATAAAAATTAAAATTTCAGAAATCAACTATGAGCCACTTTAGCTTTTGGAAATCAAGAATAGGAGAGACCTAAAGGACACAGAGCAAAATAGCTCTTGCTTACTTTGCAAACTAACCATAGTCACCTGGCATCAACTAATATCCCCACAAGGAAGATTCCTTCTGATGCTCTGAAATTATGCAGCAGCTTCATTTGAGTTGGTATTTGAGTTGCAATTAAAGCATGATTGAAAAAAAGAGTTCAGGGTAGGACTCCATGTGTACCATTTGTTCATGCTTTCATGAAGCATAAGTGATTCAAAAGTCAGAGAGAGAGAGAGAAGAAGAAGAAGTAGAAGGAGGAGGATTAGGAAGAGGAAGAGGAGAGATCTATGCTAAGTAGACCTCAATTTACAAGGGCTAGCACAGACTATGAGAAATGCATTATAAATAGATGCCCCCAGTTAAATCATAGGTCGAAATGTCAGCTAGAAGGATGGCCTAGGTCAGAGATCATCTTACTCTTGTCATTGGGAAGAACAACTTCATGAAAATGGCATGTACACAGTACCAAAGGACGGTCTAAGAATCTAAATATAGAGCAAGAAGTGCAGTTAGGGCCATAGAAACCTCCATAAAGAAAGTGGCTTCCAAGAATGATTATGGAGGAGTCATTCCTGCTGGCTTGAGGAGCTAGCTGACTACTGCCAGATCCCTCTCTTCCTCCCAGACCTTGAGTTCAGCTGCCTAGAACTATTGCTCATTCCTTGGAGCAGGCTTTCCTAACCTCAGCACTATTTATATTTTGGGCCTGATGACTTTTATTACAGGAGATTGCCCTGCACATGGTAGCATATTTAAGAGCATCTCTAGCCTCTACCCATTAGATGCCAGTAGCAATCTTCCCAGTTTAACAACCAAAACATGTCTCCAGACATTGCCAAGTGTCCCCTGGCCAGTGGAACAGTCACCTCCTGCCTTAGAGTGATTTTTAAAAATAGATTTCTTCTATCTTAACTTCAGTGAATCTCTGCCAAAGTGTAAAAATGTAAATATTGTTAGAGTGGGATTGGAAGAGAGCTGAAAGGGAGTGAGAGACAGGGGAAAGGAAGGGCTGAAGAGTGTTGAGGAGGGCAGGCTACCTCAGTTGGAGAGGGAAATTCATCAGAGGCTCAGGGTGAGCCCTTGCCCCTCTCAGAAATTTTTTGCCTCAGCCAGCTCTTCCTCTGGCTCTCTGCCAGAAGAAGCTGCCCGGGGTTGCAGTAGCCTAATGAATAAAGAGATTGCTCACTCATAATTTTTATCTTGTTCTTTGCTAGAACCCATCCATCTCCCATCTGGTTAGGTTTATTTTTTGGGGGGGAGCATATAAATAATTGATTGTTCCCATATAGACTTTCTTATTGTGCCCTGTGTTTCTTCAAAGTGAACACTATAAGCAAAAATAACTTGTTTTGAATATCACATCACTAATGGTCTCCTTAATATCAATTTCTCTCATTTTATTAACAGACGATCAGAGCTCAACAAAACCCTACAAACCCTAAGCGAGGTAATCATAGCATACCCTGTACCTTGTTTATAATTACTGTTAGTATTAGGAGAAAGTATGGAGTTCTGCGTCCCTTAAGAGAGATTTATTTAAATTCACCCAAATCTGTCATGTAAAAGACATGGTTTTTTACTCCAAAAATCAGAACTAGGAGCAATGGGTGATTACCTCCTACTTTTAGTAAGACCAAAGTTTCTTAAAATGAAACTTCCAAGACAGTGTGCTCCCTTATGTACTTGGTGACCTTTCTGACACCAGAGATACCCAACCTGAGGTTGTATGGCTTTTATGATTATGTCAGGAATGATATCTAGGGGGGACTGCAGTTCTAAAATTCAGGGGTTGCCTTTCTGACATTTCAAAACTGTTGAAGTAACATATACATTTTTTTTGTTTTATCTCAGACTTATTTTATGGTATGTGCTACAGCAGAGGCCCAAAGGTCAGTCATTTAAAAAAATTTAATAAATATTATTTCTTCAGTGAGACAGGCTTAAAAAGTCAAAGGTCATGTGTTTTCCCTTATATATAGAAGTTAGACCTATAAGTTAAATGTATATATAAATATATATATGATCATATATACATATGTATATATGATGAGACAGAGAACAAGATTATATTAGTTGGTCTGTCTGAGAGGACTGTGGTAAGCAGGAAAGGGAAAGAAAAAGTTAGAGAATGAAAAATATTGAAACCCATCTATGTATGAGTATAATATAACATAGTGCACTGTGAGCTGTTGAATATTAGGGGATCTTGGTGATAGAATAAGAGTAAGTAATGGGAGGGTTAATCTGATTAAAGTATATTATATACAATCCTGAATTTCCAAGGTGAAACCCCCTTGGACTATCAATATGCACATAAAAAGGGTAGGAGGGTAAAATAGATGTTTCAGGGGGTGGTGGCTATTAGTGGGAGGAGTGAAAAAAAGAAAGGGTGAATATGATGGATGTATTTTGTATTCATATATGAAAATAGAAGAATGAAACCTGTTGAAATTGTTCTAAGAAGGCAGGGAGAGGGATGAGGGAGAATGATGGAAGGGATAAATCTAAGATATATTGTAATCACATATGTAACTATCACAATGTATCCCCCTGTACAACTATTATGTGGTAATAATTTTAAAATATTATCATTTCTCCATTTGTGAGAAATAAAGTATTAATAAGTCTTAGTTAAATTGTAAATCCAAAAGCTTTCCTCTAACATAAATACATATTAGTGACATTTTGGATTTCAACATATTCATCTCATTTCCTTATGTAGCACTCTGGTCCTATGAGATCATCAGTGTCCTTAGCTCTGAGGGCCACCAGTATGACCAAGAAATGGGTCACAGTGGTGTAGGCAAGGTAAAGGACAGGCAGAAAAGAAGAAACATAGTAATGGAGCTCAGAAAAAAGAAGGGAAAGAAAAAGTTTGGAAAGAAAGAGAAGAAATTAAAAAGCATGCATGCAAGAGTGAATCAGAGATTGTTCAACATTTGGGAGTGCAGAGATAACCATTTTAAGCTTTATTCATTGACTAAACTGCCTGCATAAACCAGTGTCATATAGATCAGTAATCTCACTATGTGAATGTTCCTTGAGAGTAAATGTCCTAGAAAATGACAATTTCCACTCATCAAAATATTGATTGAAAGAAATCATGGCAAATCTTCCATTAAATTATAGGTTGAGTCCCTGTCTATGTATGCATTTAGTTCACTTCCCTTCCCTCTTTTCATGATTTGCCGCATTAATTTTTCACCCATACCAAGGTAGAAAGAAACAGAGAGAATATCTTAAATTCTTAGTTATCTGATAATCTCGATTGAATTGCCAGAGAGATTTTGGATTTAAGAGACCTTGAGGTTCAATTAGGCTGATTTGTGAAAAGGTTTCCACGATGGAAACTCAAATGCCTTACAGGCACCAAGCAATTAACCAGCTTGCTGGGTGGGTAAGACTAAAGATACCAAGGTGCTAGTCTTTATAGCCAAGTTTCACCCCTGCCTATTCATTGTGCAGATACACAGAACAAACCAGTAGCTATGAGTGGTCAGAAATTTTCTCATCTCTAGGATCTGAATGTGAACCTACTGTCTCTTAGGTCAAAGTCTTTGGGAGTAAAGTTCAGACCATAGTAGATGGATATTTACAAGCTTATTAGGCTGATATTGCAAGATAACACAGTGTCCCCTTTCCTTATTCTAAATTTGCAAAAGCAATTAAATATATATAGGCAGGTTTCCAATGTAGTAACCTTCTGCTTATTCATATTTCTCTTTGCAGCACATTAAATTGTACATTCACAATAAAACTGAATGAGACAATGAATGTATGTGCTGTAATGGTTGCTTTGAAAAAAGTACAGATTCGACCAATGGGTAAGTTGTCTTTATCTTTATTGCTGTGTTCGTTTTCACATGACTTTTGACGTGTCATTTTTACTTGAAATATAATTAATAAGTTTGAATGTTTCTGCTTTCTGTTTGATTCCTTTGTTCTTAGACAAATTTTATAAAGCCTGGGAATGTTATTTTTCCTGTTTTCTTATAAAGTTTAAATATATCATCTGAAAATGAGAAAATCAAGCCCTATTGAGAGGTGAGCCGGAGAATTCTGTTTGGAGTGTTTGATGGATTGCTACTAGGATATGTTCATTTTTATTGACAAGTGAAAGTTGTATATATTCATGGTATACATTGTGCTATTTTGATATATGTTGTGGAATGGATAAATCAAGATAGTTAACATAAGCATCACCTCACATACTTACCTTTTTGTGTTGAGAACATTTAAAATCTACTCTCAGCAATTTTCAAGTTTTGTTTAGCCACCATGTCATAAAACGGGTCTCATGAACATACTACTTTTTCTAACTGAAATTTTGTGTCCTTTAGCCAATATCTCTCTAGCCTCCCCACCATGTGTCCTCTGGTTGCTGCCTTTTCATTCTCTGTTTCAATTAATTAGACTTCTGTAGATCCCACATATGAGTGAAATCATGTCTTTCTGTGCCTAGCTTATTTGACTTAACATATTGTTCTTTGAGATATGTTTACTTCCAAATTCCTCTTAGGAGCCGCTGAAGAATGATTGCTATTGAATGCATATAACCAAAAAAGAAAAAAAAGGTTACTCAACAAGTATTTTTGAGCACCTACTATGGATATATAATTGTTAGTATAAAAACATCCAAGTAACTTTAATCACCAGTTATATACAATTGCTCTTTAAAATGCAGTCAGTATAGAAACCACAAACTTGATGGGTCTGAGTTTTCAGCTTCCTTTTATTCTTGACCATGCATTTTCTTCTTTTCCTTTTGTCTCCTTCAGAGCAGTGCTGCTGTTCTGTCAGGACACCCTGTCCTTCTTCGCCTGAAGAGTTGGAAAAACTGAAGTGGTATGTAACAGACTTGCTGATCCTTTTCCAAAATAAATAAATAAACAAACAAGCAAACATACATACATATAACATTTAATCATCATGGATTATTGGAATTTGGCTCTCAATTTTAGGGAAAATGTAGTTTTCTATTATCTGGAGTTTTCATCTGGACCATTGTCTTAAAACAGTGTTTCACACTTCTGGCTGCACATTGAAATCACCTAGGGAGGCTTACAAATTGTGACTCTCCATAGATTCACCAATTAAATGTTTTGTCATTAAATTTTTTTGCCAGATTGATAGATGAGAAATGGTTTCTCATCTATTTAATTAGTATTTCTCTTATTAAGACTGAGTTTTAGACTTTTTTTTTCACTTATTTGGGGCTATTTTCATTCTTTCTGTGAATTTTATTTTCATGCCTTTTCCTAATATATATTTGATTAATTTTTAAGAGTATGTCACATATTGTGGATGTTAGCTCTTTTATCTGTGGTATATTTTGCAAATATTTTCTCCCACTTTGTCAGTTGTGTTTTCACTTTATTGTGGTTTTCTTTGTCATGGAAATTTTTTTAAATGTGTGATTAAATTTAGAAGTCTTATATCACCTGAGGTTTTGATTTAAAATAATTTTTTTGGTGGCACTTGGGCTTGAACTTAGGGCCTCACACTTGCTAGGCAGGCACCCTACCAGTTGAGCAGTTCCACCAGCCCCTTTACCTATAGATTTGGAGGCATAGTTAGGAACCCATGTTGTAAAAGAATTCACATTTTTGTTTTTCTAGTATTTGTATGGTTTCTTTTTTCACATTTAGATCCATTTGAAATTTATACTTGTGTATGGTGTGAACTATGGATCTAATTGTATCTTCTTCCAAATGCTTACCAGTGGTCCTACCACCATTCATTTTAAAAAGGTGATTTGAGATACCTCCTTTGTCATATACTGAATTTTGACAGGTATTTGAGTCTAATGCTAGATGTTAGATGTTAACATTGGAAGGAGCTAGGTGAGGTAAAGCTGAAACTATCTGTATTGTTTTGCAATATTTTTGTAAGTCTAAAATTTATTCAAATTAAAAAGGTTCTAAAACACTGATTCCCAGTCCCCACCCTCAGAGATTCTTATTTAATGTCCTGGGTATTAAAGGTTTTAAAAGCTCTTCTGGTGATTGTAATATACAACCAAAGTTGAGACTTATTGCCTTAAGTTTATATCTTCATGAAGGGAAACTGGAGATAGATGCTCCAAAATAGCAGAAGACTCTGAAAGTCCTGTATGATGTGTTCATAGTTGTATAAGTTATACAAAAAGAGGAAAAGAAAAACAAAAAAAAAGAGAAGATGAATGAATGAAAGTGTTCACAGTGGTTACCTATGGTTGACCTGCCTGCTGGCATGATAAATATGTTTTTTCTCCTCTTCCTTTCCTCCCCCACCCATGGCTGCACATTGAGAGAGCTGTTAGGAAGAAGAAACAGAACATAGAAAAGGGGGGTGGGCAGAATGGGAAGTCAGTGTCTGGTAGGATTGTATCATTAACTAACTGTGTATCCACATTGGTTCTAGAGCAAGTGCTTTTTTACCTTCAAAGGTGAGATGGGGAAATATATTAGATCTCTGTGGATTAGATCAGTATGTCTCAAACATTCCTATGTATTCAGTCTCTGAGGATCTGTTGAAATGCAGATTGTGATGCAGAAGGTCTGGGGCAGGCCTGAGATTTTGCACTTCTGTCGAGCTTTTGGGTGAAGCCAGTTCTGCTGGTTTCTGGACTCCACTTTGAGGACTGAGGATCTAGACCATAGAGCAATACAGTGATTCTCAGCCCTGAGAATTCTAACATGGCCCATTGCCTGGCCATATTAGAATCATTGCCCACCTTCCATTCTCAGATATTGGTCTAAGGTGCAGCTTGGGCTTCCAGAATTTTACAAACCCCTGAGTTGAATGATTCTAATGTGTAACCAAGTTTGAGAATTACTGGGCTAGAATTGTATGATCACTCGGGGTCTTTCTAATATATTGGTTCTTAATGTTGGCTGTACATGAAAAACACCTGGGGCACTTTGCAAACATGCTGATATATCAGAGTGGTCTTCTTCAGTGCTGGAAACACTCTATGTTTAGATTGGGTGGTGATTATCCACATCTATACACAGATAAGCATTCACCAAGCTCTAAATATAAGGCAAATACACTTTACTGTATGTAGGCTGCACCTCTGTAAGTAAGCACCTTCAAATGGGTACTGACACCTGTGTCCACTGCCAGAAAATGAAAATCAGCTGGTTTGGAGAGGCCTAGGCACTAGCACTGAAATGCTGGGGTGGGGGATTCTAAGGCACAGCCCAGATCACCGTCTGCTGCTCTGCTGCATCACACAGTAGATGGAAGAACCTCACTAGCACATACGACAAGAGTGGTTATCCCAGTGAATGGGAGCCTGTGCTGGGTGTCTGGATTCTGCAGGGTCCACATAACCTGAAGATAATTTAATTTATACTTTGCAAAGCACCTCTGCCATAACTTGGTTAGATGGGTTGCTGTGGTATGTGATTTAGGGAATGGAGTCTTAGATGTGGGGTCAGTTGTCCAGAGGGTTAGCAAGAGCTAGAGTCCAAGGCAAAGCTTTTCAATGCATCATCTTTTGGACAGTACAACACCCCTGTCCTCACTGCTACCCTGAATCACAAGGGGGGTACAGGGAGGCCCATGGCCAAGTGTTGGTCAGGTGGGCCAAGTTGGACTATGCCCACATTTCTCTTTATGGTTGTGACTTACCTTACATCCACCTAATAGTCCTCCCTCCCCATGTCAAAGAGAAGCTCCAAGAACACATTCTCATTGGTGTTTTAAGTCTCCACCTAAAACTGGATCTGTCAGAGGCTTCCATGGGTGATGACTTGTCCTATCTAGTTGTTCCTCCCTCTAATATCCTCCAAGACAATTGGATTGTGTACAGATAGTAGGTGAGTTCTTCTTAACCTTGATGCCCAGAAAAATAACCTGAGCATTTATAACAGGAACATGGCCTGGAAACCCTGGGCACCATCTCAAGACCATCCGAATTAGACATTGAGGAAAAGGATATAGAAAGCTACTTATCTATCCTTCCATTTGTCTATGTATTAAACTGTATTTTTTAAAAAGTTCTCTGGGTAGTTCTCATGAACAGGCAAGGTTGAGAACCACTGAGCTAAAGCAACTTTGAGGGTATAGCTGATTAACATGCTGGAGACCATCACTTTGGTCCCAGCTTGATTCATTTTTTCATTAACCAACATTTCTTGGTCACTGTGCCTGGCTATAGCAGTATAAAGTTGGTTAAGACCAATTCCTATTACGTGGAAACAAGTTGGGTCATGGGGCATTTAACAACTCCTTTCCTCGGAAGCACATGGTAATGTTACAAGACCCCCTAATTGAGTGATAAATAGTAAGGCATAGAGCCCGAGAGCAGCAGTAAACCAGTGAACCAGAACTGGCAATTCTAAAAGAATATAAATTCCTCTCTGAGAAGTAGGTGGTGGAAGCAGGCAGGGGTAAGGGTCAGTAGCAGGGGCTCAGCAGGTGCGAAATGGCATACTGGAAGTGGCAGGTCCTTGAAGAAACCGAATCAATGTGGTGGTATCAGCTAGCTGCCAGACGGAAGATGGAGGATCGACATTTCTCTGTTGCTCATTTGTGTCTCATTTGCATCTCTCTGATTTTTTTCCTTTAGTGATTTGCAGAATCCCATTGTCTGTCCTGATCATCCACATGGCCCACTGTTTTCTTCTTCCATCAAACCTATCCCAGTTGCACGTCAAGTCACCATTCTTCCCCACATCTCCAGTGCCTTCTCTCTTGCTGATCCCCTTGATCAACCCCCTGTGACCCAGAACACTCCCTCTCTGACATGGAAGAATCACCTTTCTTCTCCCCAGCCTTCAGCTTCTGTAGCTTCCAGTCCTGCCATTGACTTGCCTGCCCAATCTGGAACTATCTCTTCCCCTCTGTCCCAAACCAGTCTTTCTCTTACCTCACAACCTGTAAGGCCCTCACTTCCCTCTTCTACCGAGTCTGCTCCTGAGAATGTTGTCACTGTCAGCACACCTTCTGGCAAGACAGGTAAGTATGAGAAGTCCAGATCCTCCTAGTAGAGTTGGGGTTTGGGCTTTCTGAACTGCTGCTGTCAGCTTGTAGATCAAGACACATGATAAGACCACATTTAGCCTTTTTCTGAAAGGGCAGAAACATTTGGAAGACCTAGGAGTAGGTCCTCACAGACAGCACAATTTGGGATGAGCAGTTTGGCTTCTGCTGTTGTCTATTGAACATAAAGATGGAAATAATGATAATAACTGCACTGGGTTGGAAATGACGATGTACCTGAGAATGCTGTGGAAACCTTCAACGGCTCCTAGGCTTAGGCTTAGTGGTACAGAGATAAAGAGAAGAGAGAAAGATGCAGAGAGAATTTTGGATACTCTGTAGAACTTCAACTCAGTGAGTAAGAGGCAGGCCTTCCTCGAGAATTTGGAGGATGGGAGACACAGCCAAGTTTTGGGTGACAGTACATTGGAGCTGGGTTGTGGTCTCTGCCTCCTCTGCCATGGTGCCAGCATCCTCAGGAGATTTGGAGCTCTGCCAAATTACTTATTTCACTGACCTCTCTTAATACGTTTTAATAAGTGTGACCTCTTAGGCAAAATTAGAGGATCATGAGGACTCTAGTCAAGGGAAGTTTCAATGGCGATAAAGAATAAAGTAAAATTGAAATTCATTAGCTGGGACCTATGATGCTCATCTTTCCAAAGCTATTCCCATTGACTCTTAGAACTCACCGAACAAGCTACACAAAAAAAACCTCAATGGGGCCTCCTGCACCTGTGCTTCTCCTCCTGGTGCAACAGAAGGGAAGCAACACATGAATAAAGATGCATGTTGGCGTATTACCTGATGGCTAAAAAAGTAGATAAAACTTAATGGTTCCATAGGAGAGGAATGCCACCTCAACACAATAACTATTATGCAACTATGTAAGTCATTAGAACAGCTGTAAAGAAACAGGGGAACATTTTCAAGTCTTGATGTGAAGTTAGAAAGACCCAACAACAGATAGTTTGCAATCCATGTTTATAATGGTATATAAATACACATGGCAAAAAAATTAGGGTGAAATATGCAAATAAGACATAGGATGTTAGCGGTGAAATTAAGAGAATTTTCTGTTGTTAAAGGTGGATTTATATAATTTTTCTCAATTCAAAACACTATAAAAATCAGACATATTACTGATAGTCCAGCTGTTGATTTCATAACCTCTTTTTCATAAATGAGCTTCTAGTGACCCACATAAAATCCTGTCCACATGATAGAAGTTACATACAAGTATACTTGTACTTATGTGAATATACAGTAAATATAATGGTGTGCTTTCATATTTTCAGTTCAGTTTACTGAAGTATAATTTATATACAGTAAAATTTCTTCAGTTCTATGAGAGATAATGAAAAATTTACAGTTCTGTGCAGTTGGATAAGCAGCCATGGTCATGTAACAATCATCAAAGTCAAGAATATAGTTTTTTCACTGCCTCCAAAGTTCCCTTGTGTCCCTTTGAAGTCAGCATGTGCCCCATCCCCTGGCCACCACTGACATACTCTGTTTTCCTTCAGTTTTGACTTTTTTAAATGTGATTTGAATAAAGTCATGTAATATGTGGCCTTTCAAGTTTGGCCTTTGGTCACTTACCATAGTGTGTTGGAAAATTGTAGATCCACCCATGTTGTTGAATGTATTGTTAATTACTTTTTATCACTGAATAATATCCTACTGTATAGATATACCATAATCTGTCCATTCATTCTCCAGTTCCTGGACATTTTGTTGTTTCTAGTTTGAAAGTGTTATGAAAAGGGCCACTATAAACAATTATGACCAAGTCTTCTTATAACTTAGATTTTCTTTTCCCTGGGGAAAATACCTAGGAGTGAGTTGATCAGATCACAGGGTCAATGTATGTTTATCGTTAGAAGTGATTTTTCCATTATGTATTCACAAAATGATTTCCCTCTTGGACACAGACATTGTCAACACCAGCAGTGTTGCTGATCTTGAGAACCAAGTGTCCCAGATGGAGAAAGCTCTGTCCTTAGGCAGCTTGGAGCCTAACCTCGCGGGCGAAATGATAAACCAAGTCAGCAGACTTCTTCATTCCCCACCAGCCTCACTGGCCCCTCTGGCCCAAAGGTATGACTTAGAAAACTGGAGAGGTACTAAGAGAGAACCCTCTACTGCTAAAGATGTTGCATACATTGTCACCAGGACCAAGGTGGGCCAATGAGGTCCCCAGAAGGAGAGGTCCTCAATTTGGGATACCAGACTCATGATGCTGTTACAAAGACTCTCAGGACACATTAAGGTAGCAACCAGTGAAGTTTATTACTAAAGCAAAGGAAAGGAAAGGACAGTACACACAGAGACATGTGTATGAGCATATGAAAAGAGGTGCACTAAACATTCTAACAGAGTACTTATAATAGGTAAAAAGGGGGTTTAGTTTAAACATTATTTTAGCTAAGTGCTCATTTGTCCTACTCCCCTGGTACATCCCAATAATTCCTGTAGCTATAGTATTCTGATGTTATCAGTTCACCCTGAAGACATTAAGTTAATTTTGGATCCTTGCAACATAGACATCTACTTTTTGTGATGTTTAATGATCACCCTTTAAATCTGGCAGTTTTCTTGAAGATGTGCATGCTTGATCCCTAGAGCATAATAATTATGTGCAGCAAGGATGAAGGTGGGGAGGTGAGGTCATCATTTTACTGCTCAGTGAAGGAGTGAGAAACTTAAAGGAAAAAATGTGCGCTTCTAATCAGGTTATATACCCGATTATTTATTTCTGAATTTCTGATTTCAGCTTCTCATGTTCTATGTCCCTAGTCTTACCTGCCTCAACATGACTAGTAATAGTCAAATGTTTTTCCCCACGGACTAGGTTCATAATGACTCCTCAAGTTGCTGCTCTATATTCTACTTAGAATGGGAGAGAAAAGGTGAGAGGGCTAAATGTAAATTGTCACCTATCTTTACAGGTTGCTAAAAGTAGTAGATGACATTGGCTTACAATTGAATTTTTCAAACAAGACCATAAGCCTAACCTCTCCTTCTTTGGCTCTGGCTGTGATCAGAGTGAATGCCAGTAATTTCGACACAACTACCTTTGCAGCCCAAGACCCTGCAAATCTTCAGGTACAATCTGATTTCTTATGGAAAAAACATTTTCTTGTATATGATTGTAGCCCCTATTGTACTTCCTGATTGAGGCAATTACTACTGATCATTTAATGTCTGAAACAGTAAGGTACCGCAGAGTCAAATGACATTGGTGTTAGGGGCTGGAGATGTAGTTCAATGGTATAGCACATGTTTTGTATGCATGAGGCCCTGGATTCAATCTCCAGTACCTAAATAAATAAATAAGTTAAAAGTTAAAAAAAAAAGCAGGGTGGAGGATTGTAGTTCAGTGGTAAAGCATTTGCCTAGCCATACTTGAGACCCTGGATTTGATCCCTAACACTGAAAAAGAAATGACATTGACGTTGGCTGGAGCAGGACTAGAGATTCTTTTTGCACCCTGTGTTAATTCTTTAGCAGCTGGATTGTGGAAATGTTTTGGGAAACTCTCTACGAGAGGATGCTAGGCAGTTGGGAGAACTAGTCAGGGAGATGAGCTACTTATCAACCCATTTCAGTATTTTTGACAATTGTTATTACTATACCAGTGTGTATAGTGGTGCTCAAAACGATTACTGCTTTTCATGCTTCCTATTAACCTATTAGAGGGATTGGGAGCCAGAAACACCCACGTGGAGCCAAATCTTGCTTTTTTATTTTCATAGCCTTCCCTTCACAAGTGTGGTGCATGGGTTTCTATGAAGACTTTACCCTGACCATAGCTCATTAACTTGTTGTGTGCTGCTGTAGTCTCCCTGTGGTGTGCAGTTAGCCTATACTTTTTGACAATTTCTATGTATCCTTAAAATGTTTTCTTTCCTGCTTGGGAGCCTCATCTCCTTATTTTGCATCCTCTCTTTCATTTAAAGGGAGACAGAAACAGGGTCATTTTACCTAAAAATATCACAGATCAAGTCCTTACAGGACCATCTTAATAAGTCATATTTTCTATCTCCTTATTATACTGACTCAGGCATTTTTATTGTCTCTCACTCAATTTTCAGGTTTGTCTGGAAACCCACGCTCCTGAGAATAGTATTGGCGTTATTACTCTTCCTTCAACGCTGATGAGTAATTTGCCAGCTAATGATGTGCGGCTAGCTTCCAGGGTTCAGTTCAACTTTTTTGAAACACCTGCCCTTTTTCAGGTAAACCAAAACACTGGTTTTGGTTTAGATTTTGTTTGTAGGTGTGGAGATTTTATTCCTTTTAGTCCTTGAATATTCTTAAGCCTGCTACAAGTCAAATGAATTGATGAAACTCTGCAATTAATTTTTATTCATAGTCTAATGATGCTAGTGATGATAACAAATGATAAGTGACAATTCCCTAACACTTCTGAATTTCTAAGCACTGTCTAAGCACTTACGCATGTTGACTCTAATCCTCTCAATAACCCTATCCTGGGAGGGAGGAATTTATTATTACCCTAACTTTACAGATTAAGCAATGGAGACACAGAGAGGTTAGGTAACTTGCTCAGGGACACACAGTTCAAATGGTTTAATGTTATGTTCCTCTTTAAAGATTCATGAGCTCCTATTGTGTCAACCTGTGCATTTTAACTCAGCATTTAAAGCATTGTGTGGAATAAGCTCTGCTTCTAATTGTTCCTTGGAAACTTTACTCCCTAACCCTCCTTAACCTGTGTGGACAAAATAGTGTCCTTCTAGCTCTAAAGCTCTCTGGTCATATTTCATTTTCACTTGTTACCTCACTGATTCTTTGGTGTGCTAGGACCCTTCACTGGATAACCTCTCTCTGATCAGCTATGTCATATCATCGAGTATTGCAAACCTGACTGTCAAGAACTTGACAAGAAATGTGACGGTCACACTGAAACACATCAACTCAAGCCAGGTAGGAGAGGCCAGTCTGGTCTGGTCATTGACCAGGGACACCTTGTGCAGGCTATGTCCATAAGGCATGGCTTGAGAAAAGCAGATCCAGGAGTAGTATGTAAAGCTAGAATCATACAGTCACTCTGTAGCATTTTATCCTGCCTAATCATTGCCTAATTTACAAGAAGGATTGATGCAAAAACAAGCTCTTATCCACTGCTCAATCTCAGTGCAGGTAGATTAGTAGGGGCAGGTCTGACTATCATCTCCAAAGAAAGACTGCACTACTCAGCTCAGTTCACCCCATCCTTCAGCTATGACCTTGCCAACACAGTGTGGTCTGCAGACACACAGCCTCAGTATCACCTGGGCGTTTTCTAGAAATGCAAACTATCAAACTGTCAGGGCCCACCCCAGGCCCACAAAGTCAGAATGTATATTTATTTATTTGTTTGTTTGTTTATTTACTTTTTTTTTGTGGTGCTGTGAATTGAGCCCATGGTCTCGTGAATGCTAGGCAGGTGCTCTACCACTGAGCAGAATGTGCTTTCTAACAAGTCCAAAGGTAACTCCTATGCATGATTGATCCCTTTAAGAAGCACTGACCCATATGTGTCTCGCTTGTTTCAAAGACCCACATAAAATAAGAACCCTCCAAAAATCAAGCATAATATTCTGAAATGTAAAGTACCATAGTTTTTCCCAATTGCTTTTCAGTTCAATAAATAAATTAATCATGGCTTATCATTCTACTGCAGGATGACTTCACAGTGAGATGTGTATTTTGGGACTTGAGCAGAAATGGTAGGTTCCAGTCAAAACCTTTTCAAAATCATGAGTGGGGGAGGCGGGCTGTCATTGGTGCTGTGGCCTTGTTGATGGGACAGATACTCTTCTTGGTACCAACAGGTGGCAGAGGAGGCTGGTCATCTGATGGCTGCTCTGTCAAAGACAAGAGGTTGAATGAAACCATCTGTACCTGCAGCCACCTTACAAGCTTCAGTGTTCTATTGGTAACATGCCTGTGCCCTGTGGCCTTAGAATCTGGGTCTGAGGAGTAGCTGGGCATCATATTAGAATGTCTACTCTAGTAATCCCAGCACTCAGGAGGTAGGAGGAGCAGGAGTTTGGGGCCATCCTGGGCTACATAGTGAGACCCTGTCTCAAAAAAATATTTACTTTAATGGATGGCTTGGACAGATGAGCAGAAAGCATGATATTATGGCAAAGTTATACACCAGTGATATTACTCTTCTAATAAGTAAAAGCATCTGAAGGAAAATATTTGAATGTGGAATACAAGTATTTTTTTCACATTCTGTTTTTACATTTAGGTTTTTTTTTTCCTGAAATAGCTAGGAGGACCAAGGAATTCAGATTAGAATATGTAATAAAAATTATTTAGCTTGCAGTGTATTTTAAAAAATTTACAAAAGACTTTGACATAAGTCTTATTTTATCTTTCCAACAGTCCTGCAAGATAGGTAGACTACATTATTGTTATTGTTGTTTTATTGAAATCAGAATTGAGACTCATGGCAATTTTCCATAGTCATAAAATTAAGAAATGTAAGAACCAGGAGCCAAAAGCCAGTTGTTAGGCTTCCGGTCCAGTGCTTTTGCAATGCACTATAATGTAATGATCAAGTACTTGAATTTTGGAGTCAGAAAGACCTTAATTTGAATCCTGACCCCTCCACTTCTTACGTATGTTGTCTTGGGCAAGTTGCTTAACCTCTCTGGGTAGAAATAAGTTTCCGTATCTTTACCTGATGATGGTAATTGTGCCTACCTCACAGGTTTACTGAACAACCTAGAGCACTCAATAAACATAAATTATGACTCTTTTATTTATTTAAAAATATTTGATCATGGAAAGCAATATCTTATTTTCTAGGACCTATCTCGGACATCCTTACCACCTGGTCAAATGATGGCTCTGACGTTTATCACATATATTGGCTGTGGGCTTTCATCAGTTTTTCTGTCAGTTAGTCTCGTAACCTACGTAGCCTTTGAGTGAGTATCCACAACTGGAAATTTGGATTATAGGACTCAGTGCTCACCTCCATTGCCAAAATGTATTAATTAAGCACTTTCCTTAATAAGCCCCATCCAGTACACACACATGGTGGAGCAGCTGTCTGTGAAATTTTATGAGGCTTTTGGGTTTATATGTTTGCTGCTTCCCACTAGTCTGTGAACTCACTGAAGGCAAGGGTTGTATCATGATAACCCTGTACTATAGAATAGTGCCTGACACTGTCTATATTCAGTTTGAAATGAGAAATAGATTTAGATCTTGAAATCTAAGAGGTTAAAATCTGGAATAGACCTTAGAACCATGTACAGCAGAAAAACTATTCACAAATTAAGTTTCTAAATTATACTGAGCAAACATGAAAGATTAAATATGTTAGCTGGTAGAGGGTTGATGAAAAAGAAGAGTATAAAACTTCACTAAACAAAATAGATACTTCTCTGGGCATGGTAGCATACGCCTTTAACCCAGATACTCATGAAGCAGAGAAAGGAGGATTGAAGTCTGAGGCCAGCCTGAGCAAAAGCATAAGACCCTATCTGAAAAACAAACTAAACAAAGTAAAAGCAAAAGGGTTGGGTTCTGCTCAAGTGGTAGAGTGTTTGCCTAGCAAGCAAACACAAGGCCCTGAGTTCAATCCCCTACCTCTTCCACTATAAATAAATGAATAAATAAAAGTAGATACTTGGTTAAATCAAAGCAAAAATGACATTCCAAATAACACCATTTCCTTCTTGACTCACCAAAAGAGCTCCTGTGATAACTTTTTAGGGGGAATTCTAACAAATTCTATGGGAAAAGAAGGAAATAGGTATTCTTATTACATTACCTAAATGAAACAATATGTATGTTCTGGAACTTACAGTGTGGACACTGATCAGGAAATGTACAAAATATATCAGTGCCAAACTTAGGGTCCAGCTGTGACTACACATCTTCTACTGGAGCTTCGGAAATATTAGTGAAACTAAATTAGCATAATGCCAACCATTACTCAGAATGATTTCACCAAATCTAATTTTGTTCACATAAACGTGTACATGTCATCAATTAGCTGTATTTTCCTATGCCATTACATTTAGCTATCCTTTAAAGTTTTCTTTCTATGATCTCATTTTAATTGATAATATTAGATAACAGGAATCTGACCATACTTTAAAGATCTGAATGTAGCAGCCTATTATATGAGAAGTAGCACCAATGCTTCTAGAAATAGCTTGGGAGAAATGAGGTAGGTGTTCAGTAGTGTCTACTACAAACTATTTAAAAGTATGGGTCAACCGTCAGCATATTAAAAAAAAGGGTCCCACAGAAATATAAACATAGCTAGTGGCTCACATCTGTAATCCTAGCTACTTGGGAAGTTGAAATCAGGAGAATCAAACTCAAGGCTAGCCCAGCTCCAATATAACCAGAGCAAAATGGACTGGAGACATGGCTCAAGTACTAGAGCACCTGCTTTGAAAGTACAAAGCCCTGACTTCAAAACCCCAGTCCTACCCCCCCAAAAAAAAGAAAGAAAAAGAAATACAGATATTTTCCATATGGTTCTTATAGATGATTCTGTTTTGATTTTTCTTTTGTTTTTATTGGTTTTAGTGCCTCCCATACACTCATTCACTTAAAAAGGATATTATTTATGCTAAGTGTTTACCAAAGAGGGTAAAAATGGCCAAAACAATGTATGCACACGTGAATAAATGAATAAAAAATTTAAAAAAAGAAGTTAGTGAAAGCCTGAAAAATATGCTTATACGAGGGTTGGCAGAATGTAATGCTAATTCTTTTCTTGCCCTTTCCTTTTAGAAAGATCCGGAGGGATTACCCCTCCAAAATCCTCATCCAGCTATGTGCTGCCTTGCTTCTGCTGAACCTGGTCTTCCTCCTAGACTCCTGGATTGCTCTGTATAACATGCGAGGCCTCTGTATCTCAGTGGCTGTATTTCTTCATTATTTTCTCTTGGTTTCATTCACATGGATGGGCCTGGAAGCATTCCATATGTACTTGGCCCTTGTTAAGGTGTTTAATACTTATATCAGAAAATACATCCTTAAATTCTGCATTGTTGGCTGGGGTATGTATAAATTTGCTTCACACATTTCCTGGATTTTTTCTATCGTACTTTGATTTTTAGTCAGGTAGAAGCATGATGAAGCAGCTCATCCTTGGCAAGTTTCTAAATCAGCTTTATACAATATCCACGAGCAAACTTGTTGGGTCTTTTTCTAGAACATTGTATTACTTCTGGATTTGTTATGAATGCAAAACTATGAGGTTGGGCCATGAGTCCTTGTATCTCCAGCAACTAGAATAAACAACAGGAGGTAGTCAATAAACTGAAAAAGTTAACTTCGTGTGATAGTGAAGCCAGACTCTCTGTCCCTGAGCTCCTAGCCAGCGTCATTCTGTTTTGAACCTCCCATACATCAGGCACTTGTATGATGCTCTCAGAAGAGCAGATTTAGAAAATGTACATATAAACCAGTATAACATCATTGCCATGCTGACACAATGTTTCAGATCATGTGACCTTTTGGAGGTGGAGCAAAAAAGCTTAGACATCCCAAAGACCTTGTAGGCTTGTTCCTTCAACTCCCCACCCAATGTAGGCACCTCAAGTTGACCTGATTATTCTTAACTAAAGACTATCCCACTGCTGCTTGAACACTTCCACTATCAGGGGTCCATTACCTTATAAGGCAGCCAGTGACCATTTTCCAAAGCTCCATGGTTGTTTTCCCATTAAGTTCAGTTGGCTCCTAGTAGTGCTTACCAATGGCCTTGGTTCTGCTTTCTTAGGTAAAAAAAGAAAACTCTTTGGGAGTACTTTAGCTAATTTATAAGTAATATAATGCTCTATTTTTCAATAGGTTCCCACATAAGTTACCTCACTAAAGACAAGCTAGTGTGGTTAGCACGGCAGTTATTTACAACTCCAGGTGCAGACACTGGCTCAAAGTGATGATGTGATTTACCCCCAATTTACAAAGCCAAGCCAAAGCCAAGGCTGGCTTTCTGATTCCTTCCCAACTTTCCTGCCCTTCCACTTCATGCCAGCTACCCCACTGAAGAGAGATTCCCTTCTCTTCAGCTTAAACATTCCCTGCACTACAGGATTAAAAACTCTTCACTACTGTTACCCTGCCCATCATTACATCTCTGTGAAGAACAACAGAACAACACCTTTGCCTGGCCTTGTCCCAGAAAGATGTGACCGCTCCAGATATTGAGCAGGCTTCTTTCTTTTTTAGCCAAGGCTGGAAGGCCAGATCCCCTTGACAAGGACAAACTCTTGCATCCCTGGTATTTTATTTATTTGCTTTTTATCTTGTGGTCCTGGGGATCAAATCTAGGGCCTTCCACAAGCTAGGTGAGCACTCACTATTGAGATAACCACAGTGTTCAGTATTTTGTTTTTAGAAAAAAATGTGTCACTTGGGACATTATCATATGACAATATCATCCGAAGGTAAAAATGAAAAGGAGTTAAATGAAATAATACATTAGTTTGTACCAGGTACCCCAAGTAGTCTGTGAAAAGAATTTTTTGTTTATTTACCGGAGTCTTGAGATTGAACAGCTGTCTGGTTTGTGTGCAATGCAAAGGGATGGCACCTGATGGGTGGGCAATGGTATGGAGGGATGAGAAGCACACTTTCCTAGCCAAAAGCCATTTTAAACTGGCAGGAGTCTTTTCATTGGGTCTCCTTTTAGCAGAAGTGCCCATGGGCTCTTGAGAAAGCCAACATTGTGGCAGTCATCCCCACCTAATCAACCAGGATAGGTTCTTCCATCCATTTTTTGTGTTCCAGAAATCAATTAAGGACAGATTCACCAGGAGTTTCTTACTCTTAAATTTATATTCCAGATGTGTGTAAGTTAAGGGTAACCCTAGCTGCTATAACAGATAAGCCTTGAAATCTCAGTAGAAGATCATTTCTTGCTTGTGCACAGTCCAGTTAGAGGGAGTGAGGGAGTCTCTGGTCTTGCACTTATTCAGCAACCTAAGTTGATTACGACTGCCTCAAGATGGGGCTTCCAGAGTTGCTTTGGGGGCAGGTTTCTATGGGGCAGGCCCAGAGTGCAGCAAATCACTTCTGCTACCAGCCCATTGGCCAAAACTTAGTCATGTGACCATGTGCACCTGTATCCAGAAAGGCTGAGAGCATCCAGCCATGTGTCAAAGAGGAAAAGAAACTGCTAAATAGTCACTGCCTCGACAAAACCTAACTAGATTAATCACCAGTCTTTCTTCTTACCATCTTTGGATGTCAGAATATGTGTGAGCCATGTTTCCCATCTTCCAGGGGTACCAGCTGTGGTTGTGAGCATTGTGCTGATTATATCCCCAGATAATTATGGGCTTGGATCCTATGGGAAATTTCCCAATGGCACACCTGACGACTTGTGAGTATATTGACTCCAGCTGTCATTTTAATACAATCTAGCTATATTTAACAACAGCCTTTACTGTCATATGTAATGAAATAAGCTATGCTACTATTTAAGTAATGAATTAGGAGAAACCATTTTGAGAAAGTATGTGAATTAGAGGGAACCACATTGAAATTATTTTTATTGGCCTCTGGGAAAAACAAGATATTAGTGACATTATATTAACAAAGAACCATGAAGTAGAATTACTAGATTTACATGGGTGAAATCTTGAATGTTTGAAAAATATTTTAACCACCAATATCCTAAGATAAACTCTCAGATTCTTTTCTGGTTGTGGAGAACAGCAGTTTTATCATTTTGTTTCACTTATAGAAAATGTTTCAGTAGAACCTTATAGATTCAGTGTTCCGTTTGGGACATTATTTCATGGTCATAATATGTTTCCCCCTGTTTTTCTTCCCCCTAAATTCCAGTTGCTGGATCAACAGCAATGCGGTATTCTATATTACAGTTGTGGGATATTTTTGTGTGATATTTTTGCTGAATGTCAGCATGTTCATTGTCGTCCTGGTTCAGCTCTGTCGAATTAAAAAGAAAAAACAACTGGGAGCCCAGCGAAAAACTAGTATTCAAGACCTCAGGAGTATTGCTGGACTTACATTTTTACTGGGAATTACTTGGGGCTTTGCCTTCTTTGCTTGGGGACCAGTTAACATCACCTTCATGTATCTCTTTGCCATCTTTAACACCTTACAGGGTAAGCTCTATTGCATTAAATGTGCACTGAATGAATATGAAAATGTGGCTACTAAAAGAATATCTGTAAAGTGGCTTATTTAGTGGCCACTTATTTATTTCAGAACCACTTTATCACTATTGCTTTTAGCTCCTATACACCCCTCAGGCAATAGATAATTTTTTAGGTTCTCAAAGAAATTCAGATACCTAATTTGACCATACATATTTTGTTTGGAGGAAGCTAGTAATTATTTTTATTAGTTATCCACAGTTATTAATCTTTACCTATAATATACCTGTTACTGAATTGGTATATCCATGCACTTTACTACATATGGTATTAAGTACAAAATTTGAAAATGAGTCAGTTATGTTAAGGGTTTAGAGAAAAGTTTTACTTGCTAACAATGGCATACTAAAATTAGTAGAGACACTTTAAGAGAATATACATATATTCCTAAAATCATATTAGTTAACATGAAAGCTAGATACCTCCCCTCACATGTTTAGTGTGGAAAGCAAACCTGCCTCTTTTTCTTCATTTCCCCAGAATATCTTCTCATTAGAATTTGAATGAATAGAAAGAATTTGTTACTCCTTCTGTAAGGCCCAATTCACAGTGCTTTTGAGTTGATTAAAGAAGAGATAGTAAGAGGTTCTCAGTTGAACTGTAACTTATCCCCATTTTGACCTCTCTAATTTATATTTCTGCTCTAATGCAACCAAGGGTGGCCTCCCAGGGTGGCATTTGGGCAGAGGTGCGCAATATTCCCCAATAAGCAAATCTGGAATTTTTCAATGAAGATTTTAAAGTAGATAGATTAAGGGTTGAGGAGAGAGATAAAGAGTTCAGAATTCACCCATAATATATTTGCAAATAATTATTGGCAAAAGCCTTGGGGTGTTGGCAGAGGTGGGGCCATGTGGGGAATCTTGGACAGCATAACTCTTCAAGTCTACAGCTTTCCCTCCTTTCAGGGACATCAGGAGAGAGTTTTCTGAGGGAGGCAGAAAGCTGGTATATAAGTAAATCGCTCCAACCCCCAGGCTTGGTGCTCAGAGGGGAAGGCCCAAAAGAGACCCAGGAGAGTGGGAGAGGGGGATGTGAAACCGTGAATGAGATGACATTTGACAGACATGGAAATGGATTGTAAATTCAGGGGAAGAAGAAATAGTTGCCAAAGTCCCAGGTAGGATTTTGTTTGCATGGCTTGTACTACCAAGACAAGGAAGACCAAGACAGGATGTAAGAAGCAAGATAGTGGAGTGAGCTTTTTCTTACTCCTATTACTACTGAACCTAACTGGGCCTAACTGGGGGCGATGGGAGATGCAGAAAGGACAAAGTATTAGACAGACAGACATGCAGAAAGTTGGGATCAGGTGTGCTGGGGGCTCAGATGGAGACACACAACAGTCTTGTTGCTTCTTTTCTCTAATAACTCTTCTTTAACTTCGCTTTTCTCTATTATTCTGTTCTCTATTCTTTAAGGCCTTACTCCTTTACAATTCTTTAAAACCTTGCTTCTAAAGTATTCTTTTCTATTCTTTAAAGTCTCTTTCCTTAGACTCTCTGTCCCATGTTTTCCCTTAGCTTTTCTTTAGCATAATCTCTCTTAAAGTCTTTGTCTTTAAACTGCATTAGCATAACTCTTAAACTCTCGGTCCTTAGACTTGCACTATCCCGTAAGACTTGCACTGTCCCATGTTCTCTCTTTAACTTTCTTAAAACCTTGGTGCTCAGAGTTGCACTGTCCCATGTGCAGCCCTCAGACTTGCAGACAAACAACAGCAGTCATGTCATTCATCGGCAGTTCCCTCACAAGCTGCCAACCAATTCTATCAACCCCTCTTTAGCAATTCCCCTTCAGCAATTCTTTTCCCTTCAGCAGTTTCCCTGCAGCCAAACCTCACCCCCATCAAAAAGCCTCCCCCATCCAAAAAGCCTCGTGTCCTCCTTCAGTGAGTCTTTCATATCCAGTGGTAAACAAGGAGATGGAGCGATGGTCTCAGGGAGGAGTGTGACATTGAGGAAAAGCAGCTGAGCTGCATCTCACTTTCTTGCTCTCTTCTGTGGCTGGGGCTGTGCCAAATCTCAGCCTACAGATTATTTGACATAAACATCTGCTCTGCATCTTACTCTCACCCTATTTTGTGGCTTGGTCTGTGCTGAACTCAGCCTGCAGAATGTTGAGTAAAATTGTGCTTATGTCCTCATAGACTTCTCCTACTCTGCTCCCCACAAGATAGTGAATTTAATTTTGAAAATGTAAGGCTATCATTTCTTTTATAAGGATTCATTATCTTACAAAGTTTTTTTTTTCAAAGCCATCACCTGGATACCTTTCATTAGCAAGCATTGGACTTTGACTATTTTATTCAACTTACAAACTTTTACTTTGCACACATGTGGGGAGTGGATTATGAGAAGCCTATGAGAAATTGAAATAAGCACAGTTGTGCTCAATGATCTACAGGCTGAGTTTGGCATGGCCCCAGCTGCAGAAGAGGGCAAAGGCAAATGCAGCACAGCTGCTTTTCCTAAGTTGTTTACATTCAGAGAAGTAGGATCACAGGTTTCTCTTGTTATAATGTCACACCCCTCCCCAAGAACTGTTGCTCCACCTCCTTGTTTATAAAAGACTCCCTGAAGGAGGATGCAGGGGATTTGATGGGTTTGGATTGGTGGGATGCTTGTGAGAATGATGCTGCTGCTGCCGCTGCTGAGTTATGCTAGAGATTAGAGGAAACATGGGACAGTGCAAGTCTGAGCACCAAGACTTTAAGAAAAAGAGAGAACATGGGACAGTACAAGTCTGAGGGCCAAGACTTTAAGCGAGATTAAAGAAAACATGGGACGGTGCAAGTCTAAGGAAAGAGACTTTAAAGAATAGAAAAGAAGCAAGGTTTTAAAGAATAGTAAAGAAGTAAGGCCTTAAAGAATAGAGAAGAAAAGAAGCAAAGTAAAAGAAGAGGATGGTAGAGAAAAACAAGCAATGAGGCTACTGTGTGTCTCTATCGGAGCACCCAGCACACCTGACCCCAACTTTATACATGTCTATCCTCTATTGTTTGTCCTTTCTGCATCTCCAGTAGCCCCCAGTTAGGTCAGGAGAACAAGAGCTCGCGAGAAAGCTCACAAGACACACAGTTACCAAAGATTTATCTTTTGTTCAAAGTAAGCGCACTATATTCAGGTCTTATTTGGAATTCATTGTGTTGTGGTTTTTCTGTCCCCTTTAGGATTTTTCATATTCATCTTTTACTGTGTAGCAAAAGAGAATGTCAGGAAGCAATGGAGGCAGTACCTTTGTTGTGGAAAGTTACGGCTGGCGGAAAATTCTGGTAAAGATTTATCTTGCGTTTTCTCCTCTTAAATATCAAAGAAAAGGTGTATAAATTAAGAACAAAGCAATCATTGCCAAGGAGCCATTGGATCTGAAATCAGTGAACAGAACCTACACAACAGAAAGTATTATTTGTGAATATTACAGGGAAAACCCAGTGAATTTAAAATAATTATTTGTATCTGGGAATTTTATGGGCAGTAGAATTAGAGTACTGGCTGCTTCTCAAATGAAGCAACAGTGAAACTTTTGTTTCCCAAAGTAATTTTTAATATTTTCTTTCATAACTTTTTAAGGCTTGACCCAACCCTTTCTCCACAGGTCCTGATTGTCAGTGGGAGACTTTATATATAAGCTTTGGCATGCATTTGGTTATTTTGAAGTTGTTTTCACATATGCCCTGTCAGGTGGTAGAACAAATAGCTTCTTTCTAAGAAAATGAGAAATAAACTACTGTTTGAAAAACCTAGATTACTTTTGCATGAATAACACCTTTGCAGTGTCTGAGGGTCATTGGAGTTTGTACTTGTAGAAAATGGCAATACATATCAAACAGTCATTTTTATGGACTCCAGAACAATTAGTTGTCATCAGGCAGTTGATTTGTGTTCTTAGTAAACAGTACAAGCCTCTGAATTCCTACCTAATTCAGTGGATATTTATAGACACAGCCCAGTTAGGTTGGCTTTTAGTTCCAAGAGAATATAGGCTACTTTTAACCAGGCAGTCATTGGAAGAACAAATATATACAAGTCTAAATGAAACTACCTTTTATCAAACTGACTTGTGAAATGTGTGACTTCTCTATAAGATCTTGAAGTGAGAAATCAATTGCTAGAACTTGTTACACTGTGATCTGTCTCTTGCATTTGAGCTTCAACATACTGCCCTGTTTTTCTGTAATGCTTATTCTGCTGTAGACTGGAGTAAAACTGCTACTAATGGTTTAAGGAAGCAGACTGTAAACCAAGGAGTATCCAGCTCTTCAAATTCCTTACAGTCAAGCAGTAACTCCACTAACTCCACCACACTGCTAGTGAATAATGATTGCTCAGTACACGCAAGCGGGAATGGTATGTATTATGTCTCAATATAGTATTTCTCAAGCTAGTATATATTTTTTAAAGTAGTTTCATTCTTTAGTGGCATTTTGGCAAAGAAAACTGAATAATTAAATCTATGATTAGTGGATCAAAATGGGGTGCTCTTATAAGACAGAAAGTTCATGAATCCAAATTTTATTTTAGAGAAAATACCAAAACTTTTTAAAGATTTCATATTTCATAATGGGAATTGATGATAACCTAAAAAATTCAGTGTTTTGAATCTTAATTTGAATATTGCCCAAAGACTTCAGTACTGTGCAAAAAGATTTAATATTTCATAATGGGAATTTATGATAACCTAAAAAATTCAGTGTTTTGAATCTTAATTTGAATATTGCCCAAAGACTTCAGTACTGTGCTGTTTCTGAAAAAGCAGTACCTAAAAGTCAACAAGACTTTATTTTTATTATATCTGTAATCATACACATCTTCAACACTTAAACCTTCCTGTTTTTTTTTTTTTTTGTTTTTCATGTTTGTTAATTCTTTCCTGCAATGTGGCTGCCTTGTCAAGTGCACATGAATATATCAAATGCTGGAAGAAAAATTGTGACCAGTATTTGTGACCATATATGTCACCAATATATGACAGATTGTTGCTGCTGTGCTTCTTTCACACATTAATTCTGACATTTCTAGTACAATTTCATTACATTTTCTTTCTTTCATAAGACTGGGCTGTTCATTACTTATAAATGCTTATCTTACCTATTTTTTTGCCTACCTCTGCTTCTTAATACATCTTTTGCATTTTATAAAAACTTAAATTCTGCCAGTATACTTTCTCCTTCCATGGACAACTTGCTTTTATTAATTGTTCCAGGACATTAGTTATTTTACGACATATTTAAATAAATTTGTGAGAAGTTTCATCAACCTACCAAATAGTTTTCCATTCTCCTAAGGATGGGGATGTCCTCCTGGAGTCTCTAGATGTTTAAAATCCAGTAGGGTGCCTTGAAATGAAGGGTCTTCAACCTCAGGCACGATCAACATTTTGGGATGGATAATTCCTTTCTCACAGAATTGCAGGCTGCTGAGCAGCATCATCCCATCCCCAGTTGTGACAACCAAAAATGTCCCCAGACACTGCCAAATATCCCAGGGGGCTAAAAAGTATCCCTAGTTGAGAACCACTGCTGTAAAAGATAAGAAACTGTTGCCATATGACCTTCTATCTTTACTATCAATACCAGTAGGAAAGCTCTGGGTTCTGTGCCAAAGAGATATTTAAGGAATGATGCAGGTTAGGGAAATACAGCAGAGGTGGTAGGAATGACGCTGGTTAATAAGTTAGGGTGAGAGACCCAGTTGAAAGGAGTCATGCAGGAGCCTTAGAATCATAAGTGTTTGAGATTCTTCATCCATAGCAAGACTTTTCCATGTTCAAGAAGAGCTCAGAGAAGAAGCTTCACCTGCCTAGCCCAATCAGTATGTTATCATTCTTTGGAGAATCAGATTTGACAGAAGCAGCACATTTTGGGCACAGCTGTTTGACATAGCTGTTTTTAATGCCTGACAGTAAGATCAGGGTGCATTTTCAGAATGGTTAAGTGTTTCACACTAGGTAATTTGCCTGTCAGATGAACATGCCTGACTGGTCAGTCCTCACACCAGGATCTAGGACGAATGAAGGATGGAATTAGCAATTTCAAACAAGAAGCTGGCAGCTGAATGGGTTATGGTAACCAAACAAGTTGTTCCTGCACCAAAATGTCCTCAAACCAAAATGCCTAACTGGAAAAAAAAAAAAAAGCCTAACCGGAACAGCTGCCTTAGACAATCACATGCCCTGTTTGAGCTGTGGCACAAAAGGAGCTGTTAACTCTATCACTTCTGAACTGCCCCAGAGTCTTATCATTCTGTACGTGGGACCATAAGCTTACAGTTTGGAAGCAACACCCCACATGTTGACTCCATCACTTCTGAGTCATGGAATCTTGGACTGAGTGCTTCATTTCTGCAACATTAGTTTCATCATCTGTGAAATGGGGATAACAACAGTACCCATCCCTTATAGGGCATTATAAATGAGAAATATTTATAAAGTGCACAGTGCTATGATCATTATTGTTATTATAATTATGTCAACATAATAGTTGACATAACAACTATTATGTCATCATAACTTGTTATCATAACAAGTGAGCTTATTATTCACCTTTCCACATGGCCTCGCAATGGCATAATGTTCAGAAGAATGGTGCTAAAGTAGGTAGACGAGTTCATCAGTTGTGTCCCTCTACAATCCTGGGCCTAGGTCCAAACCACAGGTGCCATTAAATTACCCAGTTGCCCCTGGCTGGCACTCTTAGGTTGGAGCTCCCGGTTTCCTCCTGCAAATTAGCCCTGTATTGCTTTAGTCACAGGGCTGGTTTAGAAATGATTAGAAAGAAGTGATTTCTTCATACCAGGACTGTTGTACCTGGTTACTCTGGGTTTCTTTCATAGTACAAAGTTTCATTTTATAGAAAACTTAGGGAACCAAGAACTTTTAAGAGTACATATGGGATTCTATTAACCTGACCCTGTGGGGAGATCAACATATGACTAGAAGGTATCTTACATATAGTTTAAGTCAATAAAATACCTTGCTTTGCTTAATGTTTTGACCATTTCATTTAAAAAACTGCCATAGAGAACATGTTTCTCCAATTTGCTGGTCTTACTTTGAATGACCTTAGGGAGAGAATGAAAAATAAAACATGAATACATATCCTAAAAAATTTTTAAAGATATGTTTCATGTGTGCATATTTAAATTGAAGTTTATGTTTGCTTGGGTTTTTAGTGCTTCTTGTGGATACTTTGTGACACTGACTTTGGTTTTCCTTATACAGGCAATGCTTCTACAGAGAAGAATGGGGTTTCTTTCAGTGCTCAGAATGGAGATGTGTGCCTTCATGATCTCACTGGAAGACAGCACATGTTTAGTGAGACAGAAGATTCCTGCAATGGTAAAAGCCGGATATCTCTCAGAAGGACTTCAAAGCGGGGAAGCTTACACTTTATTGAGCAAATGTGATTCCTTTTTTGCTAAAATCAAAGCATGATGCTTGATGGTGTGATGTCCAGTTTTACCTTTTACAGAAGGTGAGATGGTATGAAAATCAACTTATTTGATATTCAGCAAACTCTGGGGAACATAAGGTAATTGAGAGCAATAGCTACTCTTGGAAGAGGAAACCAAGACATTATCATGGCTTTTGGATATATGTGATTTGCTTTCTTGTTCTTCACTTTAAAAGGAGATTGGTTCTAAAGAACAGAGTAAGAATAAGACATAAGTTTTTCTAAGTAGCTAATATCGAGCCACATTTTAAAGAGTTTAAGTCATCCTTGATAACATCCTAGAAAACAACTGTTAACTTCAGCCTGTAGGTGAGTTTAGTTATGCATGCTTTTATTGTATATAAGCTAAATTCTAGTCACCACATGTCCAAAACTTACTTCTACATTTTTGTATTTATTTTCTACCGTGTAATTTTATTCTTTTGTAGAAACAAGGTTGTGTTGTTTTGTCTAATGAAGTAACTCAGAAAATCCTTACTGATTCAGTGAATTCTAAATCTCCTTTTGGAGATTTTATGGGATGTGAAATACAGAAACTCCACTGAAGTCAAGAAACAATGATACAGCGAGACTGGACATATCAAGGTAGATAGTGCCACAATTAGCTCATAGAATGACCTTGGGCAAGTAGAAAAAGGTGCTCCTACTGGGCAAACACAGCGTCATGGTCTAACAAACAGGGTGGCAGTCATATTTTATCCCGTCTCTCTGTTGGGTGCAGGGTACAAACTGTGAGATCATACACGAATCCAGTGCTCATCCCAGACCTCATCCCTAATGATCAGATTATGGAAACTGCACTAATATGTTTAGCCTAAAACCTTGGTTACAGAGAGAGATCAAACCTTAGTACAGCTCATATGTCAGGAAGATTGTGAATGTGGAAGAGACTCATACACTGCCACTTCTCAAAATCCCCATAGCCTCTCAGAAGAAGGGAATAAAGTAGGATTACCTTTCCAAAAGAGATATATGAGAGGAGGCAAATCATATTGCTGTTCTTTAAAAGGCAACTGCATGGTACATTGTTCATTGTTATGACTGGTACACGCTGGCCTAGTCAGATTTATACTTTTTAAAAATATGTCAAGTATGAACAGTGTATAGTGACAAGAGAGGGGCTGGTGGGAACAGTGTTGTTATTTGTATATTTACTGAACCATAATTGTTTCTAGTTATATAAGGTTTATACTGCTTGCCACCTACACTAGCTTGAGCAGTGCCTCAAGTATGTCCTTATTAGGAACTCTTCAAAACCCTTTAGTTAGATCTGTCACTAAGGCTCCCTTGCATATATTGCAAGTAAATGTTGTATCCCAGACTAGCCATTGTAATTAATATACATTTCTATGAGTGCTAATTTGTCTTTGCAATCTTTCTTCTCTGAATTATTTAATTGTCTTGTATTTATATGTTAAAATCAAAAAATGTTGAAGTCAATGAAATAAATTTGCAGTTAAGTCCTTTAAGTGTGGTGACTTTCACAAAGAAAACACAATTACTTTCTCTTTCCCTGGTAGCACGGAATGGAAGCAGTAGAAACATGTCTGATGAAGATCAACACAATAGTAGTATCTTGGAGGAAACAGCAAGCACCCTTGGACTGTGAAATTAAAGAAAGCGTTGTCCTGACTCACAAGATCAGTTTCTAATGCTCTTTTCCATTTTTCTATTACTCTTTCAAGAGTTTCTCTTTAGCATGTGTTGCCATTCACTTGCAGGGAATATATGCACTGCAATTCAGATCCCATCCAAGTGTCTGCTTCCTCAGCATCAAGCATTAGGATTTCAGGAAGGCAAGGATGGAATGTAGGGGGCTCTGGGTTGATAGTTAACATGTGGAAGCAACCAATGTAGAAAGCTGGCTTCACCCAGAGAAGAGCTGTCTGAGCAGTTTTTCCATCCAAGTTCTCAGCTCCCTCAAATAGGTCAATTGATTCAGGAGGTGATGAGACAGTCTACATTTGGGAGAAGGGATAAGAGTTCAGGAATCGATCTCTCCAAACAGATTATATAACCAAAGTCTATAGTGAAGGAGGCAAAATGTCCACTGTCCATTAGTCCCTCCCCCTTGTTTTTCCTACTATGTTTTATGTCTGGACTGGGGTCCTTAATCAAATTCTTTTGTCTTTTTTTTAAATTCAGAGAGATAATAGAGCAAGACACAGAAAGAATGTTCCTATGAAGCATCCTCCTTTGGGTTTAATTTGCTCCCACAGTCTGGGACCTTATATATGGGAAACAGAGGTGGTGCCAGTGTAAGGAGACAGAGAATATCAGATCAGTGGCCCGTATGTGAAGAAGTATCTCTTCAGAACATTAGAGAAAATTTTCCCAGAACACACTTTAACCATTAATCCCACAAAGGAATTCTGTTGGCTTCAAAGAGCGGCATCAAAAAAGGGGAAACTGTTCCCCTTCTCAACTTAGGTTGTGTCTAACACGGCCACCTAGGAGGCAGATCAGTTTTTTTAAGGCATTTCAATGAGGATCTAATTTACTGAATGACCTGTTCACCAAGTAGACTTGTTTGATCTCATTTTGCTCCATAACAACATTAAGTTCTGTACAGTTCATCTTGACCTCAGCTCTTCACTGCTGTGGTTAGAGTTCAAAGGACATAAAACACGAAAAATTGAGTGGGCACTAGAACATAATGTTGACTGTGAAGAATTCTTATCATTGCATTCTTTTATTTTCACTTTAGTTTCCAATAAAATATCAAGAACTCGGAGCAGAAAAAAAAATTGAATAAACCTTCCAGAATTGTTTTACTTTTTTAGTGTCCTGATATACGGCTCAGGCTGGCTGTCTTTAATTTGATATCCTCCTGCCTCAGCTTCCCCCAGTGATGAGTTACCACATTTAAAAAATATGCTTGATAAATGTATTCCTCACTGTGAAGAAATCTTATGCTTCCTGACATTTCCTTTCTTTTCTTCTCAGTGTGAAGCCAGTGATGGGAAGGTAGAACAGAAACAAACTCAAGATTCTTTAAAGTGTTGTAATTAAAAACAAGATCCCCAATCAATTGAAATTGAATTGTCATAGAAATAACTAAAATTGGCAAATTGGTTATTTTCAACAAACTGATTCAGAATTGATCCTCTCCTTTGGGTCAATGATGGAGTGAATTTCTTTAAAGTCAAAGATGTGAACCATGCAACGGAATCATTTATTAGTTTCCACCTTGGACAGTGACCTGTAAAATATATTCCTAAGAAGCACCCAATGAGAGGAAAAAATATAAGAGAAATAAGCTATGAGTTTAGCTTTTAGATACAGAAGAATATATGAAAAATCTAGTAAGAGTAACATATTAAATTTTTTAAAGTGATTTAATTACGATAACTGAATTCTAGATCACAGCAAATTCTTCATGGAGGTACATATATGCATTGCTTCCAAGATTAAAACAAACAAAAAGTGTATAAACTGATGAAAGGTTGGGTGCTTTAGTTGAAAGATGGAGTAAAGCTTTAGGTTTATGTTCTGGAATGTCTCACATGAACTTACTTAAGGACCAAACAAGGAAACCCAAATAAGCTGAACTAGTTTTCACTCATTTTATCAAAATTGACTGAGCTCCATCTACATGCTCAACACTGTACCAGGCATGGTAAGAGATATCTGACTGTTTCAATGAGTAACTTATAATCCAGTTAGAAAAACATGGCCTTATCCACATTTGAAAACACAAGTAATACTAGATAATACATTATTTCCAAATGGTGCTGAAAGCAGCTATGATTTTAGTTGCTTTTCTATGAGTCAGGTATGTGATAAATGCTGTTGATTTTGTCATCCTATGAGGTATGTGCTGTTATGAGCCCCATTTAACAGATGTGAACATTGAAGCTCAAACAGCCAAAACACCATGCCAAAGGTCATACCACTTCCACAAGGCAGAACTGGAATTCAACTAAATTAGAAGTGAATCCAATTCCTAAGCTCTGACTAAAGAAACTGCTATAGGAATTCAGAGAATGGTGAGGACTAATAAGGGGGAGGATCTGAGCTGGCCTTTAAGCCAAAGACAGGTTCAGAAGGTGAAGGAGGAAGGACTGGACTCAATGAATCACGCATACAGTAAGTGCATGGAGACTAGCAAAGGGCTTGTGCAAACAATGGTAACCTTAGTCTAGCTGTCCATCTTATTCATACGTCTGCCAGATTTTTGGTGAACAAGCATGCTGGGCCTAAGATTGTGGAGTATAGGTAATTACCAGCCATGAGAAACTAGGAAAGCTCCTTTCAAGTCATAGTCCCGTAGACGAACTTCGAGCATGCTCAGGGAGCATCGCCCAGATGGCTAGGGCAGGGGCTGCGGGAACCCTGACCCCGCAAGAGCAGGGGGGGAGGGGGGATCCTGTGCGGCCTCCTTCCAAACTGGGATCAGCTAGTCTCCACTATTTTCAGTCAGCCCGGAGGCGGGACGGGGTAAGGCGCGGGGCCGTTGAGGGAAAGGCGGGTCTAGAATCTCCAGCGGTTGAAGGACGCTCAGGTGGCTGAGGTAGGCAAGTCCCTCTTCTACTTTGGGTGGGTTTGGCTGCCAGCTCTGGGGCTCGCCACACTGCAGCTCCAGGATGCAGATGCATCCTTTGTCTAGAGTCGGGATCTCCAGAGCTCCCACGGGCAGGCCCATTTTCCTTCCCCTCAGGCCAGACTCTTGACAGTTTCGCCTCAGACGGAGGCGGGCCCAGGGGCGGTGCTGTGCGCTCCTCAGGGCGGGGATGCCACCCCTTAAGGGTGTCCTTCATTCGCGCCCGGCCGGTTCCATTCCATGGCGGGAGCGGACCCAGGGGGAGGGGGGACGGGTCCAGAGCACCTAGGTGACCAAGGCCAAAGGGTCTGTTTCCCCGGCCTCGCCTGGGCTGAAGGCCGCCTGGAGACGGAACGAATTCAATGAGGCAACTTGGTTCCCGCCCAGAGCCAAGTTCTCTGCTGCGCCGG